GATACAGTTGTGAATAAAGCCAATAAAAAATCCTACGACAACACAATAGAAGCATGGCACAATCCCAAATAACAACATAACGTTGAGCGGTCAATTATTTTGTTAATGCACCCCCCCCCCCACCAGTGTTTATTTGCCTAGGGGCAGAATTACGTGAATTCAACCTGAAAATAGAAAATATGCCGGGGCGTGCACATTGGTCTGGAAAAGCAAGATCGTTATACCAATTGTCTGTTCTGGTGGGTGGTGGGGTCCCTGTTGTATTGTCGCCTCTGTAGTATTATTCCTGTGTAGGAAATTTAAAAATTCTCTGTGCAATACTGTAAAGAATGTCGTGTGTGTTTGCTACCACTCTTGTTTCTCTTATTGTTGGTGAACTTGTATGACTTTTTAAGTCTCATTGCTAATGATCGTATCATATTGAGCCCTAATATTCATAGCGCACACACTTCAAAATCAGTCACACAAAAGTTAAAACACAGTACGTCTGAATACCCTATTATGTTTGACTTGAAGCCAAGACCCCATAGGTTCTTTATATTGGTAATTAGATCCCCAGGTCTGTGGTATGATGTACCGTGGCGAATTTTTCATCACCGTGCTTCATACTCGTTTTATTGTTTGTAATAACGGTGCGAGAGTTGCGCAGGTGTCCCAAAACATTCAACACAATGAGAAATTAAAGCGTATCCTGAGGGGAGGCAGGTGATGTAGAGATGATAACGGTGCTTTAAACCTTGGCCTTTTGTGGTGAACCGTTACTCTCTGTGAGCCAAAACACTTAATAGTGTAGGCATATGAAATAAAAAGCACAATGTGGGATATAGTAATTTTGTATTGAAAATTAGATTCGGCCACATTTTAATGTACAATTCAAAATAGTAAAAACGAATGATGTAGATGTACATTTTTTGTTGGAATATGGGAAAAAATGCGAACCCTAAATCGTATCTGTTTTCACAAAGAAGACACGTTTGGTTGAAAATGTGATAAATATAGCCTTTTGTACATGTGTTGAAAAAACGTTCAACCATACCCCTGTATTGCGGCAAGCTAGTGTCCTAAACTTAATTGCAAAATTACAAACGTAAGAAGAAAATAACTGAAGAAGAAAACACCAACAAACATTACTCGCAAAAAAAACAACAACATACGTTAAGAGTTTACATGCAAACCCTTGAGATAAAACGTTCTTAAAACAACACAAAGCCGTTTTGTTGAAGCAGACAACACGCCGAAGGCTCGACGTTTACACTGCAAAACACTTGAAAAGGTTGATTTAGGTTTAATGACGGGACGATGATCTTTAACGAGCTCGAGTTAAAGTTCACACCTGTGAAATGTCATCCTGGATTTAGTGGGTCGCCACACTGGTATTATCGTTATCAGTACTACAAAGGCACTGCCGCTATGAAATATTGCCTACGGGCTGTTCCATTCAACAAGCTCCGTAAAGGGGTGGCCAGGGCCTTAATTTTTCTGAGCCACGTTCAACACCGCTATGGTTAATAAGTGACACCTGCCATGTATTCATTGGTTTAGACCCGCGGTTTCAACGTATTTTGTAACGGTTGCTCGTACTTGATTGTGTATTCGATGGTACTTTTTTTTTTTCAAAATCTTACTTATTACTAAGTAGATCATTGACATCATCACTAGTACTCTTCTTTACCAAACTCAAAATCCCGACCACCATTTTTAACTTCCAAAATAGAATAGTCCTCAGGGATATCTTACAGTTATTACATGCATTATATGAAAATGGCTGTTTTTGTAAAGAGAAAAAGATCCTGCACTTTTTACGTAGGCGTTGTCTTAGTATGGGATACTTAAGATTTCCTTTAAGTAGGTTAAGGTTAGCGTTAAAACATCAACTCATCAACGCCAAAAGATTTATCAATACTTGAAAAGAGTTCAAAGTTTGAAGAATTCAATAAACCCATAAGTTATCAAGTACCCCTAAACAAACAATCCGTTATAAAGCACTGCATCTGACAGCTGGCAAACAGTCGTCTGTAGCCTTTGACTGACCTTTGTCCACCATTTATGTTACCAAGGACAACAGATATACTATCAAACGACGGAGGGTCCAACTAATCACACGTAGCTATAGGTCAGACGTCACCGTTTGTTTACCTTTGGTCAACAGTTTGTTTGTTGTACGTTAGAATGGTCGTTGGAGATGCTTCCAAATATAGCCATACGGCAATTAATTACACGTGTCGTACATGTGAGTGTCGATGCCAAGTCGGATCGAGCCGGATCGGAGCCGAATCGAAGCCGGATCAAAGTGAATCAATTCGGCTCGATCAGTACAATGATAGAAACTATGACTACAGAAATATGAACGTAGATGGCGTATTAATATTGACATAATGTACGTTAAACATTTCTGTCTGTTAGAAAACATTCTCTCTTCTGTAAAGCCCTACATGTATATTGGCCTAAGTACGTAGATATGGAGTCGGGACATGACACAATCAGATTAAAAATAGTCTGTGTTGTTTTTGCTACTAGATTTACATATATGAATTCATTAATATTTGTCTATGTACAGTATAGGCTGGACAGGTCATCATCACAATATGCATCTTCAACACTATTTTTTACATGTCAATGCTCTTGTAAAGACGGTAGAAAATACAATGGGATTTCGTCAGTATTTTAACGTTGTATGTCGACCGTATCGTTATAGATGTGAACATGTCTGGGCTAGCATCAGATTGACAACTCGATAAGCGATGTTGAGTTAGGCCGGCGCGCTGCTATCGATACTTCTTCAGAGTCAAGAAGCGTGTCCCTGGCAGACCCTTGGGCTAACTTCTCAAAGTTTGCGGAAAAAATCAACGCCGGAAGCCGGGGACTTCTCGGTCGGTGGCGATGAATGCGGGACTACATTTCGGTGGCAGACCGCAGTCAGTAGACCGACACAGCGACACAAAACAGATCTAATTTCTCAAACATTTCTGTGTATTTTTGTGCTGTGTTCACTGGTCTGTAGTGATTGGGAAACAAGTCGCTCTACTCTAAATAAAAGACGCCGTCATTTTTCAATTACAATCAAATACGTCACTCTCTCGTTAAAGAATAGAAAATGATCAAATTGTTTGCAGTTCAAAATAATTCATTTCCTTTTCCTATTAAACTAAAAGTTTTTAATACATGTATCGTAAATTGAACTTGTATCATGAGCTAGGGCATAAGGCATCCAATGCAATTTCAAGGCGACAACACAGAATATTCTGGATGAGGAAATCTGTCTGATATTGACACTTGCTGCCATTCTCCGCATTTTTCGTCATCATTACATACTTGAAGTGTTTGAAATATCTCTAAAACAAGCTACACGAGGAGTTGGTTCACAAAAGTTTTATAAATACGTGCACCACCAGTAAATACTAGTAGCTATAACTAGCCTACGTTACAAAACAAGCAACCGTTTTCCGTCAGCGACGTCGCATGCCTAGACTTGTATGGTACAAAACAATAGAAGGGCAGTCATAAGTTATGTGTTTAACCTATAGCTGTGTCTACTATCTATAGCCTTGATCAACATCCGCTGGAGTCAAGGCTTGCCTCACACCTGTGTAAAGTTTAGTGAGTCAAGTACTGACTGTTAGTCCTTCTCTTATCTTTTGCCCATTCCCACATTGGTACTTGTCAGTATTAATCTTAAGGTTACGAGGTGTGCAATAAGAAGAACGTAATTGACGTAAGAAAGTGCGCCATGTTCGGACTGGTTGGTTAGAATCATCAAGCATGCCCAGAGGTTAAAACTGTAGCACGGGCAACGCTATAAATACTGTTCAGTTGCCCCCCTCCCCCACTCTCAGACACCTACATTGGTATCAGAACTATTTACAGTTCCAAACTTCTGATAAACAGCGTCAGTGTACAGCAAACCAGTCAGAATTGCCCTGATGAAGATGACAGACGATCATCGAAACGTCGGCTCCTAAAAAATAAATGGTTGTGATCAAAGAACTTTGCTATTCATTCGTTTACCAACCTGATGAATTTATTTACGGTTCTGATAAACAGTTAGGTGCAGGTGCAAATTACATTTTTCAGTCAATCGGGCAGTTGTTTCATGTACTAGTTACATGTACTGTACTTGGCTATGGTCGTAAGTCGACCATACACCCTAATTCAGAAATATCGACCATAAAGTGTTATTTGTGAAATTTACAGAAGTACGTGTTAATGCGAGATAAAACCACATTTTAATCATAGAATGGCAAATAAAACAGGTGTCAATTACTATAGAACACGTCAAACAAAGGCGTTCCTGTGCGCACACGCACTCCACTTGAGATTGCTCTGGTTTTGACCTTCGCCTGACCCTTTATTTGATTAGTTTATCGACCAGAACCGTTATACTGGACAAATATGAAGCATATCTTATCAACGTTGAACAATCCGTCTTTTCCACACATGTACGGAAAACATCCAGTTCGTACTTTGCTCCATTGTCTTATCGGAATTAAGACACTTCAAAGGGATTCCCGACATTTTGTGGTTATCACTGATTGATACATTTGTTTTCCAACACCTTAATGGGATGAAATGGTCTTCAAAATCCTGATCTAATATACAATTCTGATTTTGTACGTTTCTGTGATGGAAATGCGTTGAGTTAACACATGCAGCGATGGTTCCAGAGATACCGTGAACAAAGTGCTTTTGGTTTGCCCCGTCGACTCTAACATCTTATCTCTACCGAAATGTCAGCCCAGAGAGACAGTTTGCGGGTCCGCCCTTCCTCCGTTTGCACTCACCTGTTGAGTACCTGACATCAAAGCGGCACCGCCCCTTCAGGTGATGGCTGTGGTGTGTCATTTGTAGTGACAGCAGTTGGACTCCTCCATTTAATTACAGGGAGATTTCTCATCGTCATTCGAAAGTACTCTGCCTTTTAATTAGATTTTCCCTAATTCTTGGACAATTCCAAAATGTGTTTCCGACGCCCTCCCTTTATTTTTATTTGTCCCTCCCTCACTGTCATCTAATTTTCTTGTCACCCCTCTAGCATACATCTCGATGGAATATCCCTACACACACCCATGTACCGGTAAAGGTATACACACACTCACTGAGCCCACGTACTGTGCTGTACACCCACTTGTATGCAGTAACGTCGTAATCAGCAGTGTAAACGTTGACTAACGTGGGAGGACATGTAGTGACGACTCGTATCTGTTCTTCCACACCCCACACAGGTGTCCCACACGCAGGTGTCCTAGCGACGGACAGGTAACCCTGTACTACACACCTGCAGAGGACTGCTGCTTTCCAAACGGCATGTGACATCACAATTACCGTGTGATCCACTGGTTTTGTCTAGGTAAGTTTGTTTGTACCGTATTTCTGCCTATGTTTTCACTAACATTCGGTTAATACGATTTCAAAGTGTAGCAAGTCACATGTGTTGTGGGGTGAAAATATGTGATATGGCGTCAACTACTAACAGAATGTTTTGTATCATTACAATGTATGTTGCATTGAGTACCGACGGGCAATCGTTACTGTTAATTCACTTTCAGATCTTTATAGCTTCAACTTCTATTTCAAAATCTGAAGCATACTTAATAGATGCGCATACTGTTATTTTTACGTTGTACCTGTAGCAATGGCCATTTCAATTTGTATTTCGTAGAAAGTAAATGCTTAATGACATGGATAGCATGATACTAGTACATGCTGCACCTTACATGATCAGCCCACATCGTGTCCCTAGATGTGGAAGTAGAGGAACTACTTCTTATTCACCGCCAAACACCGCCAGCTATCCGGACAGTAACAAGGAACAAACACGATAGCTTCACCCCGCCAGACCGCACGGCAGCGGCCCGAGGGATAAAAGTGCCAATCACACATATTTCACGTGTTTTGTCAATGCGTGCCTCTCACTGGGGGTTGTTCTGTAATTGGCCTGCCCTCCCTTGAAGGAACGTTCGTTAGTACCGTCATTGTTTCCTGCACTAAAAGGCCAACTCCCTTCGGCTCACCACTAACTACCATACTTACCAGATAACTACGTTGGTTATCTCAAATTGCTAAGTGACTCATTCATTATAATGTTGCCAAAATGCATGCAGTGCTGCAGAATGATGGCTATTTCGCGAGTTGTAGGGGAATATCTATTTTGGGATGTAAGCTTTGTTTGAATAGAAGTGGGAGCACGGGTGTTGTGTGTGTAATTGGATTACGAGCCACAACAAATTATCCGGCTTAGCTTACTAGTAGGCTAGACTGTGTAGAGAAGGCAGGGGTTTTCCTAGCCTGGATCCCAGACTGGCCTTTCTTCGGGAATACGGATCGTAGAAGTCGGCAAAACAGAGAGTAAAATTTGCCAAGGGAGTCCGGCCGCGGGGAGGTACTGTAGTTTCTTTAACTGCGCGGTCAGTCAAACCTACAAGGCGGCCAAACTCCTCTGGCAAATATTCTCCAGTTTAGTCTGGTAGAGACTACAACCTTTCCTCGTATAGTCAAACTGCAACTCATGTGTCATCAACCGTAATGAAAATTGAAATCAGGAAATATTTGTTTTGCGCCTCATTCAAAGAGCGACGCTAAAAAAGAGGCAATGAGTTGGTCCAGACAAATACTATTGAAATAGTCAAACATGTTGAGTCACGCAGCATTGTACCTGGGATACGTCTTCTGTTGTCTCACACGACTCATCTTCTGTTGCGTCAGTTAACACATATTTGTACAGCGTTATATGTGATCTATTTATGGCACTGACGTCACTCGAAAACACTCTGATCAACAAATACCCAAGATACAACCACCTGTTTGTTAGTCATGACTTCCCACGCCAAACAAAGCGTGAAAAACGCCCCCTAGTCAGATATAAGACAGATTTGGCATCATTCAGATGCCTTTCTAAGCTTTGGAATATGTGATAGAAAAAGTAAGAAGTATCTCTTCTTGAAAGTAGATGTATGGGGTGTGTAATAGGCTATTTTAATGTATAAGTAGGATATGTGTCCTCGCCTCTTGAAATTTGAGAAGTTCATTTAACCTATGACTAGGTGACGCTTTTTTCCTTCATTGCTCTTTTCTAGATCCTCGTCATCATCCTTATAAAGTGAAAATTTGAAGGAAACATTTTGAAGTCCTATGTAGGTTTTCTGCATTGTACGCCAATGTAGAGTTGGGTACAGCTTCAATATGGCCAAGATGCTATATGAAAACTCAGTATTGCTGACATATCATTTGAAACGTCTTATACATATCAACAGTGGTCTAGCCATGGCCAAGCATGTCTGTCAAACTTTGCACACAACGTCTGTATGTAATATCATATTACCTCCTTCAAGCAGTAGCTATAAATTATGTCTTCCATTGTCTAACCAGGCATGTTCGTGCCCTTTGAGCTGTGAAAAAAATGCTCATATATCAGCGGCCGTAACTATGTCAAGGTTTGTTTTCCCTCCCCGCGTGTCATTGTTCCCCCTTCCCTAACTCTAGCTAATGTTTCGTCAATACCAAAAATGGACACCCCTCACTTCAAAGGCACGGCTGGCAGTTCCGCTTCAAGGCAACGTTTAATAGTTTGACGAGTAATGTTTGAATGTTTACCTCGGCAAACATGGGATACCAGAGGTTTTGAACGGGGGGAATGTACATAACGGACAGTGTGACAGTACGGGGACGCTGGGTGGTCTCAACCCGCTGTTTTTACGTAAGTAACGAAAGAATAGTCATAACAAAGCTGCCTGACAGCTTGACTGATTGACACTTAAAATTCGGCAGTAGGTCAGACAGTGAGAAAGTGGTCCTGCAGGTGGGGACGATAGGGTGACAAATTACTGTCCTGTTTTACAGTGTGATGGATGGCACGATACTAAGTTGCGATAGCCTCCATAGCATGCCAAAACTTGGGGGGTTTTGGGGGGTCTTCAGGGTCTTTGGGAGCTTTTATGTGCTATTTTCTGATTGCATATAGACAACATAGCCGGCCTGGTTGAAGTACCCCCGTTTTTTGAGAACTGGGCTAATCAGAAAACAGCCGAAGATCACCAAAACTCCCAGTTCTATTAAGCCAGCTACGGAGGCTGAAGTTGCGACTAGTCAGGAAAAACACCCGAGTCAAAATGTCAGTAGTTTTCATCTAGACATTTGTGCCTTTCCCAACTGTATCTGCAACTTCAAAAGCAGAAAACATGAGAATAAAACGTGATGACAGAGAAATATGTTATCATGATATAAGATTTTCTTCAGGTGTTTGAAATGGACAGAATTTCAGGTCATCTTGCGATTGCACAAAGCAACGCAAAGCAATTAAGACAATTATGAACCCTCGACATTTGGGTAAGTTGTTTAGGGCCTCATTATTGTTGAGTTAAATGACGGCAACTTCTCGCATTACGGCATGAAATCAATTTACTGTAAACAGTTGGGTTATTTTACGACAGAAAACCGATTTACCTCACACGCAGTAGTAAAATAGGGAGTTGTATATTATTAGCATGTATACTCTGGAGTCGTCGCTATAGCCATTGGCTAGTTGGTCAGCTTAAATATATAGAGATAAAGAAATGAAAATATATGACCTGGAATATCTATCTGGAGTGAGCATTGGCCTTTTTATAAACAAGAGACAAGGAGGACTACTAGTATGAAAGGAAACACAAAACAATTCCGCTTTTTCATATTTTCTAGATCACGAATTCTGATAGCATTAGATTGTACTCTATATATGCTTTTTTTGCATTCTTTGGCATAGATGCATTACAGAAGCATCGATCATTAGTATACTGGTAATGTATTTTTCGCCCACGACTTGACATATTTGACCAAGTGCAACAGGCACGTTTCCGCTTGAAATCTATCACCTGCCCAACACACGGTTAGCGTACATGCTGTGTCAGAAACTTTTCAACGATGGGAAACACCAGGGCAGATTGTCACCGTGGTTACTGAACAACCTTTCCGGCGTTAGGCCATGTTGATTTGATTACATGGATGACATCCTCTGGAACCTCAAAACTGATGCGAGCGCGCGAAAGTTTGGCAAAAAAGTTGCCTTCATTATGAAATATAGGTGATCATGGAGGTTGAACAAATGACTAAACACACAGAGTAATATTTTATTGGCATGGTGAATAATAGACTTTTCATTTTAATTGCTTTAGATTTTATTCTTGTCCGTTGGAATGGATTTTGGCATTCTGTGACATAAGTATCGCTTTCCAATATTTTTTTCAATTTACGGCATATATTTGCTCATTTTGCAGCTACTTTGTACGATTTACAATCTGGTCGAAAACTTTTATATTTCAGTGGAAACGGACGAAAATTCATGCGCGCGCGGATGTCATCCATAGAATCAAATCAACATGGCCTTAGTAGCAACCAATAAACACGCCTGTTTCAGTCAGCGGTATAATTTGCAGACGTTTGGACTTTTCTTCTTTTCAAACGGTGGCGAGATTTTTTCAACGACAGTCGTAGCTAAGCCGGTCGTACTTTGTGTAAAAGTGGATTTCCGTGACGGTTTGTGTAAGAACAGGCAGGTTGAATGAATGTTTGGACCAGTCAAGTAGCGTGTTTATGCTTGTATCGCCACCTCCTTCCGCACGGAAAGGCTAAGAGGTTTGTATCGACGTTAGAAACAAACTACAAACTCTAGGTGTTAAAAGTCGTCCTGTATTTCTGTCAGCTTTGTCTCCATGGCAACGCAAAACAGACGAGGTAACGACGTAATGGAAAAACACATCTGTTTGCTTAGAGGAATGGCGAGATAAGGAACCACCTCTTAGTGATGTAATCAGTGTTAACGAGGCCTTAAAGACACGGTAGGTTCCATTGAAATCGACTGATAAGAGGCTAATTGACACGCCCGTGAAAGGGATGAGGGGTCCTTGAAGATGTCTCTTGTGTCGTGTGCAAATAGACATGACGGGGGCGATTGTCAACTCGTGAAAAACGAACGATCTTATCATTTTGTCCCCGGGAGCACTCAAGGGATGTGGGCAGGGCATTCCTGTCAGGTGTCAGGGCCACACCGGTAATTGGTAGGAAGCCACAAGTAAGCCGTTAACTTTCAAACTGATGCTGCGGGGATCTAGTGTGATTTGGTTTTAATGTTTTAGTTTACTTCCAAGGCTGATCGGGAGATTACCAAGTCTGCCAATGGTAAGCCAATAGCTAACTGGTACCTGGCACAGATTTTTCAGAACATTTTTTTTACTGTGAAAGCTTAAAAGACAGCTTTTCTTCTGTCATACGCAAAGTTTTATCAACGTCTTTTATCAACGTTATGATATTCAAATTCGTAAGGCGAATGTAGGGTCACAATTTGTACCCATTCAAGAATAAACTGGTTCCTCCTTTTCTTAATTTTGGACAAAACATTTTGTGCATTGTGACAGCCTTTATTACACACCGTACATGTACCGGCTGTAGTGACTGTTTACAGAGTGTTTTTAGTGGCAAGGTTTCTTTCTAGCTGATGGAGCCACGGTCCATCAGATGTGTTTTTGTCTCGTTTGACGAACCCTGAATAGCGCACCCACTGTTCACGCTCATGTACTTTCACTCGTTTAAAGTTTGATTTCTTCCTTGATTTATGAGTTTTTGTCTCGGTAGTCATTGGCTATATTCATCCCGGACAGGCTTGCATTGCAGGGTAAACACAGGAGAGTCACGGTTTTTTCGTAGGTACACTACAACAAGGTTAAGAAAACGTTTACATCTATACAAAGCACAGTTGTACGCAAACAAGCGTCGTTGTCTTTGACGTCATGGTCCGGGTTGGACAAATACACGTATGGGGCAAAGTGAACAGCATGGCGGCCTCAAGTTTACATCTGCTTCTTATCATTATTCTTCATGTCGTTTGGAATTTTCATTATCTGGTAAATTATCAGTCATATCAGCTTTCTTTATCGGATAAGGGCGATATGATTTTTCCTATGGTTGTTTCTTTCAGTTTATTAACAAGGTATATGATGTCAAAATTTGAAAATATAGGAATCTTGTTTTTTGGCCCGTCTTGTTTTGTTTTAGCCCTATCGCAGTAGATTTGGAGTTGATCAGTCAATTGTTACAAACTGTTTGTATGTAATATGCAATAGTGAGTAATAGCCACTGAATATGTAAATAATATTAATAAAAGTTCACTAAGTCAGTGACTAACCTTTGGCTCACAGCTACCAGGTGCTCTCATTTACGATGGAGCTTGGTAGATGTCGATGGTCTCTGACTTTGAAGGACATAATGATACGTATTAGCAAGATATTAGTGTTAGAGTCATAATGGCGATCATCGATAGACAACCAAGAGAGGTCAAAATCTCTTGAAGCTGTGTCCTATCTCAGTGAAGCTCAGTAGGAGGATTCTTAAATATTGTCTTCTTGATCATATAACTGCGCACGTTCTACTGTCTCTTCTCCAGACTTGTAAGTAATGGAATATTCCTGCGAGTAATCAATATGGCCGGCATTCCTTGTTGACATAGGTGTACTTATGCTTTTACACGCGTTTGGCACACAATACCCGTTCACGTTTCCGTTCTGAAGGCTGGATTATGTTCGCCCACACACTATGTGTCATGTCAATCACGGCCCAAGGAAAACAAGACGAAAAAAAGCTATTACAATTGTTAATAGGGTCAGAAATACCATGTGGCAATTAGTATACCACAGAATTGTCTTCTGAATGGCTGCCTGTGCCGTTATACAAGTTTTGGCAAGCGTTATGGTCTGTTTCTACAGACTTATTGTTTTTACGTGTCGAGGTAATAAAGTTCATGACATGTTAGACCTTACGTAAAGTCATAGGTCACTTCCTCATATGTGTACTTTACTATATGCGAGGACAAAGGACAATGAAGGAGGAATGATTGGCATTCTTGCAGACGACAATTGCACCTGTGAGCTCGAGCAGGTTCCCTCAGTCACTTGGCGGGAAGTCAAGACTGTTTCGTGTGTCGTCTGAGGTCCTGACTGAGACATTTCTGTCAGACTCGCTGTCCTGTAGATTTTGTTTGACCGTGTAGATGTTTGTTGGGTGGGGGTTTACATACAAATAGAGAGATGTCTCACAAGTCATGGCTCGCTGCCACACAAAGCCCGGCCCGGCGGATCCAAGTGTAAGTCGTCATCTCATCTCGTGTGGCCAATTCACGCCGGTTACCGAATCCGCGCCGTTTTTCATGGGCGCCTCACGTGACCCTGCTGGTGGGGGTAACCCTCCCTCGCCCTGCCCCTCCCACTTGTCGTTCACTGCAAGTTCTAGGCACTTAGAGGTGCAGACTGAGACAATTAGGGTCCGACCCCGCCAGGGATTAACCGCTCTTCCTCTGTGTTATGTCTCGGCAGGTTGTGCAGGTGGTCCCGCCGACGACGATGCCGACGCTGCGGGTGTGGGTGGACGGGGAGGAGAGGACCGTGTCGGGGATCTCCAAACGGACGACATGCGGGGACGTGGTGAAGGCGATGATGGCAGAGTACGGCCTGGTGGAGAACGGTCACTCCTACATGTTATTTGAAAGATGGCGGGACTGTGAGAGGACGTTGCCCGTGGACTGTAGGATCATGCGCGTGTGGAAGGCCTGGGGCTCGGAGCAGGAGAACGTCAAGTTCAGCCTCAGAAAGTACCGGCCGACCAAGGCAGCCGCGTTCGAAGCGCTCCACATGAACAAGGTAAAGAGGTCACATTCAGTCAGTAAGAAGGAGAAGCACAAGAGCCTTCGGCACGCCAAGCGAACACACACGGCGAAGACAGCCGACGTCAGGCCGAAGGCAACCGAACAACAACCCTCGACGGAAAAGACATTCGGAACTCTTGAAGAGTTGGTCCAGATAGTCGTGAAGCAACAGAACAAGATAGAAGAGCAGCTGAGGCGCATTCAAGCCACCGACAGTGAAATAGAGAGGCTGGAGACGAGGATCCACATGGCTCGGGTAAAATTGAATGGGACAAACTACGTACAGGACACGTATCTGGCAGGTCTGGAGGACAGCGACTTGTCGGACGCTAGCAGCCACTCGGAAAGGGCCGAGGAGTTAGAAAGGCTCATGCTGGCCTACATACATACGTGCGAGGATATATTCCGATTACAGGAACATATATCACTCGAGGAGACCAGAATCGAAGACTTGTCTATGGTAATCCAAGACGAGCTGAGCTTTCTCGAAACAAACGATGGTGAAACGAGAGCTCCGGACTGGGGCAAGGACTCAATGGGCCAGGACGAGCCTAAACATACCGCTGACCCGTCGGAATGCAAGCCAGACCACTTACTCCAGGAGGTCATCCGGCAAACGTGCACTCTAGAATCCAATATCGACTTGACACAACACCAGAGGGAAGAAATGAGGTTCCTCGATAGAGAGCTGTCTCTGAGAGACAAACTCATCCGCGCCAAGCACAGCTTGGTCCAGGAGTTGTACAAAGAACTGGAAGAGTTGGAAGCAGAAGACGGGGAAACGCACGGTAGCACGGCGCCAAAACAAGACTTGGACGCTATTCCCGAATCCAAAGAGCTAGACTTGGTGGAAGCAAACACTTTGATTCCGCAGCAAGGGAAAGGGGACTCCTCTCCGAAGGGGTCGACTGGCAGTTACGAAAACGACTCCGATACGGGACTAAGTTCTCTACACAGTCAGGACGACGTGGTAACTGTTGTAGAAACTCTGGTTTGAAGGGAGTATACTGTACAGGTGGCTATCAGTGTTATGTTACGAGTACTACTGTATATAGATATGACATATATCATCATATTATACATGCGCAATCATAACAAATTCTTTATGGTAATCCCATGTAACAATTTTATTATTGGTCAGTATGTAACGGTCATGTATGCAAATGTCTGTATATGCAAAATACCGCTAGTGTGGTCGTTTTGTGTTGCTAAAGTTGTTGTTTGGTGTACTGTACCAGTACCCGAAGAAATAACTTTTTAAACGCAGCCTCCACTCCAAAGATCAATTATTTTATGTTTTCTAAGTAAGTATTTGTCTTAATCGCTGTACGTTGTTTTTTTGTCAGAGGTGGTTTTAAAGTAGTACTGCATTATCATAACCAACGGAACCTCATTATCATTGTTAGCATGGACTAGGAAGAATTGTAGAGAAAATGAGAAAGCTTAGAGAGAAAATAGGTAGACGGAGAAATGCTTCATCAACAATATGTTTACATAGAGCCCCTCTACATCCCCTGTTCAGCCGTCCCTAACTTGGGTGTCTTTGACCGCAATGTTTACGTTAGCACTGGATAAAGATATAACCAATTAAAGATTATTTAGTCTACCACTTTCAACCACTGTTTTATGTTTTGGATTTAGTTTCCTGTTTGTAAGTTTCCTGTTTGTAAGATCGAGCGCATTCTAGTGAAAGCTAAGCCCATTCACTCCTGTATATCCCATACACGTGTATCAAAACAGTCGATCTCCTGTCATTCTAAATACATGCTTAGCCCAGTTTGATTAAAACAAACTCGATACTTTTATATCATGTTCGTTGTCGAGTCATTTGTTCGAAGCGTCTCGGGTGTCCGCCATCTTGAATTGGGAGGCTGTCAGTTTCAATGACAAATCCCGTGTCACCTGTCCCCGGCCGTATCGCCTGACCAAGATGCTTTTCGCACCTACATGTAGAAAACCCGTATTATCGTTACCCATCCTTCAACGTTTGACAACAATCCGTATTTCTGTTTCATCCAACCCTACTCCCACGATAATGGTATTAAGAGATCTGGGTTAAAGAGTAAAATAGATACTTTGTCTCGATGACGACTTGCTGTAGAAGCCATGCCTTACGTGGTATCAAATTGTCACAACCTAGTCATGATTACCCCCTACCGAAGTGAAGATAAGATCAACACGGTGTTTTTTCTGAAAGGATGACGGTATATGATCGCCGTGAGCGTTTTGTGCCCTTGGAGTTGAGGGGGTCTGTCGGGCGGAGTGATATGTCAAAAAGACAGATGTGTCGGCGGAGGGTGAGCGGCTGTGTATGAGGTCTGTGGCCCGGAGCGTTCCACTACCGCCGCAGGAGTGACATTACCTGTTGTTTATCCGAAATTCAGACTCTCAGTTTCAGAAAGAGTATGACTCTAGTTTGGGGGCTTTTGGAACGGAATGGCTCTCTTTATGAAAAAAAAAACACTCCATCGTTCATTTTCCCCAGAAAAAATATTCTGATCTATAAAAAAACTCCGCAGGGTAAAATTGCAACAACTGCAATCTTGAACTCATATAACTTCTCCAAAATTACAAAATCAAACAATTCTAACGGGAAAACTCCCCATGATTCCGTAATAGTATGACCCTTCGACCTTCAAGCGACCGTTGACGACGTCACCTTCGCTTCTCCACAGCTATATGACACAGATTGTGAGACAGCAAATATACCGCCTTCAAACAACGTCAACTTTTCAACCTCCGTGCTTAAAGACAAAATTTACTCGGCGCCCAGAGTGCTTCACCAATATTTGTTTACGTCACTAATGTCTGGCAGTAGACAAAATGGGAAAATATAGTGACCCGAGGGAGGGCTAAAAATATGGACAGGTGTGCTGATGAATATGTCAAAGCGTTGTATACAGAGGCATTCGACTGTGTTTCCTTTGTAAATGTCTATGTGAATGTCAAGGAGAGCTGCAAATCGACATTGGCAGTGACCATAGAAATAGACCAGATGTGTTAAGGGCATTTCAAGGTGGACAATCTGCTGACTTAAGCATGGATGGCAGGGGTTGAGATTTTAGACGGTGGTGCTTTCTTGGTTTAAAGACTCTGACAAGGCACCGTAGCCTGTACTCGAACAAATGGAGAGCAAATTAAATCTCTGCAAGGCTACTACCTCGTGATAATAAAGCAGACTACGTGGCTGGTACACTACATGTGTTACGGGTATAAAAATACCTTCTTCTAGACAGATTAGTTTCTCAGAACTGTTAGAATTGTTACTTCTCGAAACTGTAAATACCGTTAGATAAAGGTCAGCAATAACTATGTGTGTATATGTTGCCATACGTTGTACCTGCTAAAATTATATAGTTCTTCATAAATTAGGCCATGTTGATTTGATTATATGGATGACATCCTCCGGGAGCCCCAAAACTGATGCGCGCGTGCGAATAAAAAAAAAGTTTTGCAAAAAAAAAGTTCTTTTCATTATGAAATCTACGTGGTCATGAGGGTTGAGCAAATGGCACAGAATATGGTTTGGCGAATAATCTAGTCTTCAAGTTCATTTCTTTACAATTTTGTCTTTTTTCGTTTGATTTTGGCATTCTACGACATTGGTATAGTTTTTATTATTTTTTTTTTGAACTTATGGTATATTTTTGCTCATTTTGCAACTGTTTTGTACGATTTACAGTATGGTTGAAAACTTTTTTTTTGGAAACGGCTGAAAATTCATGCGCGCGTAGACGTCATCCATATAATCAAATCAACATGGCCTTATGTAAAAAACATATAGACATAGCGCATTCAATAAAGCACTAATGCTGAGAGATTGATAATTTCCTATCCAGCAGAAAGTTGGTACCTAACGTTTTTCTGTGGACTATAATGCCTTCAGAGCGTCGACTTGACCCAAATAAGCCAAAAAATCTCACGTTACACAGTTTAGTTTACAAATCTCCCCTGGCACGAAGGGCCCCTGGATAATCCACTTTCCACGGGATTACCGTCGGTAAACCGCAGTCCTGTTTATCTTCGGATTCCCCTGCACTAATCCGTGCCATGTAAACTGGTCCGGGCTTTGCCCTCATTCCTTCATTCATTCTCCTGTTGACAGAACACATGAAAATTAACTTTGTGCTCTGAGCTCAGAGATGCGTTGCTTGTTGCACTGCATTTATGGAGGATGGTCGCTAGATGACCTCATTGACCATGGTAAAGTTGTGTAGCCTCTCCTTACATTTAGATAACGGTTTGCAATTCTTAAAAGAGGAAATTGTTGAATAATCTGGGAAAAAACATTAAAAACGCAGAAACAATATCTTGTAACAACGCCTCATTACAAAACTGTTATAAACAACAGGTGGCGCTTTTTCACAGTGACTGTGTTGGCTACTCGGCATATTATATGACTCAACTGATTTTGGACAAAACAAAACAAAACAAAACAAAACAAAACAAACCAAACCAAACCAAACCAAACCAAACCAAACCAAACCAAACCAAACCAAACCAAAACAAAACAAAACAAAACAAAACAAAACAAATTAAAACAAAACAAAACAAAACAAAACATAAAGTTTCTTCACAAGAAACGCCTAACAAGACAATCATTGGCACGAAAATGTTGCCAAGTATACTTCATGGATATGAATCCTTTGTTAGATAGACTTCAGCATAATGATAAACATCGGCTTAATGAATGTTGTATAGCAAGAAATTCGAGTTAAATATATCTTTTCCCCATGAAAACGCCGTATCATTTTTCTGTCAACTTTCTAAGAGGCGCTTGGATCATCGACGGATCATACATAAGGAGCTTCACAGCGCATGCGCATCTGTGTGAACTTGTCCATCTGGCGGTATCCCCACAGTCTAGTTGCCATGACGACAAGCCGCATGCTCCGAGAGGAAAACGGTTTCCCTGGAAACGGCGTAGTGGATCCATCGGAACGGCGGTCCTAAAATTAGTGCGGACAGAGAGACAGTCGTGTTGGCCAGGGGTAGACCTGGTACTCGCTAACGTGAGTTAGTGCTCCGTTGTTTTCTTTAGTAAAATAGTATCTTTTTGGCAGAGAATTTGTTATACGAGGACTAGGGGTTTACAAACTGCATTCGGAATACCCCCATAGCGTTGAAAAGGAGCCAAATCGTCGGGAAAAATCTTGACCACCGAAGGAATGGGCCAAAATAGGTTTCACCGCTTGTAAAGTATCGCTGACATCCTCAAGGACACGCGAGTAAAACGCGCAGCATTTTTGCCACACTTTGGCGGTAAAATCGCGCACTTACCCCGCCAAGCATGTACGGTTTACTGCTGGAGAGCATCAACGACTACCTGAAGGGAGCCTACGGGGAGGCGGTATGGAAGCTCATCAGAGAGCGGGCCAACGTCCCGCATCACTCCTTTGTGACTCATCAGGTAAGTCAAGCATTTTATGTGTTGAAGATGCCTTACTCCGTTGGCCATACAAATGGCATATTTTCAACAGGTTTTTGCTACATAGACAGGTAACCGTTTTTTTTAGAATCGCGTGTTTTGAATGTCACTTGTAATATTGCTTGTACAGTTTAGCATCGTCAGAATGACAGTCGCTGACTTAAAGTAGTGGATAATACTTGAAATGTCAGACTGTTTTCAGAATCTATGCAGTTTCTAGAGTAACTTTTTTTCTTATCTATCTCATTACCTGAAAGTCTAGATCTAATCTTTACCGACGTCCGAATGACAGTTATGGCTGCATACGTAGATCAAGAATATCACATAGACGTTGAGACACGACTGCAATTTTAAATATTGTATTTTCAAGTCAAGAAGCAGCATTGTAAAACAGAATTTCATTTGAATCAGAGAAGAAAAAAAACATCATTTGAACAAACTTTTGCAAAAAATGATTTCCCCGATTTTCGTAGTTTCTATTTCCCTAGAAACGCTGTATGGCTTTTAAGTCCATATATTTTTTATAGGTTTACTCGGAGACTGTGATCCCTCGCCTGGCCAAGGCGGCGTCCGAAGTGACTGGGATGAACCATGACGAGCTGATGGACGTGTTCGGGATCAGTTTCGTGACGTTCGTGGGGCAGTACGGCTACGACAGGATCCTGCGGGTACTCGGCCGCCAGCTCCGGGACTTCCTCAACGGCCTCGACAACCTGCACGAGTACCTGCGCTTCAGGTGGGTTTCAAGTACATTTCACTACGAATGTGCGGCACGATTGCTGAAATGGGTGAACTTTTTGACCGAACCGCTAGAGGGGGCTTCCGAGCGGTTGACGTAAACAGCGGTTGTTTCATATACGAAACCGCTATTCAATTCAACCCTGGCTGTACTTGCTGAAGTACTAACGAGCACGCAAGTGTTTCTGAATAGATAATCGAGAGGTTTCAAATGTGCTGAGCAAAGAAAAATGCCAGATTTATGATAAACTGATCGTCAAATCAACTTTTAGACAGAATTTCATATGACGTCCCGTTTTACATCATCATGAGATTGTAAATTGTCAACATCTCTTTGAATCTCAGTTACCCGAAGTTACAACCGCCGAGTTTCTTCTGTGAGGAAGAGACGGCCACAGGGCTGACCCTCCACTACCGGAGCCGCCGGAAGGGCTTCATCCACTACGTGAAGGGCGAACTCCGCCAGGTCGGCAAACAATTCTACCAGACCGACATAGAGGTGGAGGTACTGAACCACGACGAGACGGACGATCAAACACACATCGTCTTCAGGTTAACAGTCTTCAGTCTTCTTCTCACATATCCACAGTTTAAAAATGAATGAAAGACCTTTATTGTACGTTTGTGCTCTAACAAGCTAAGTACAGGTCATGAATAGACAATTAATTCAAGGGAAACAGCAATGACACTTAAACCACACATACTAATGTGGTCTACTACATGTATTTACATGTTCAACTTCTTCTCGCTTCTTTACGCAGTTATAGATATACGAGCATATAGAACTAATGCATCCAATTTCAGGACGGCAAAACTGGATTTTCAAATTCAAAGTCAATTCTCTTGCCATTTTCTTAATGTTGTAAGTTAAATCAGACATCTGTGAGGCACAAATGCGATGTCTCTGACGGAAAACGGTTGCTTCTGTATCTGTATCGGTATGGCCGGTATAACCGCCCTTCGGCGGAACACACCAGCTTCGCAGGTACGCGGCGCGGCGAGAGCTAGCTATATCACATAGAACGATACTTGTTTTGTATCGTAGGCTGGCGCTAGTTATTTGTGGGTGATACCCAACAAAACGCCTCACATAGCTTGTTTCGGGGCTATTTCCTACGCTTTAAGTATCGAATGGACATGTATATGATGTAAACAAAACCAGCGATCGCTCGTATTCTAATATTCCGCTGGTCAATAACGCTATTTTGTAAGCCGGTTGCTATCAGCTGCATTCCTGCTGCGTAGTTACATCATTGTTCGGTAATCATGACCAAATAAGGGCATAGCCATGACCAATTTGTGCATGTGAGGGCATTTATACAGCCCGTTACCGTAGCGACCAATTCCTACTTCAGGAATGTTACAGGTATGTAATTATGATACGGCAATCATTGTAGAATGCTAACCTTTAATTTATGAAAAATGGACCTCAGAATGGAATGTGAAAAATGTGTACAAGTAACAACTTGACATAAAATAAACGAACCGAAAAACATCCCAAACAAGAAATCTAAAGCGGAGAGTTCACACTTCCGGGAAGTAATTGCAATTTTCGTGACCTTCAAATTTACAGATTTTCGGAAAGCATGTAGTTTTATTTTCGTGAATGCATTGGAACTGTGGTGGGGATTTAATGATGTATTACACCACTTCTTGTACTCCCACTATCGGCGTGTGTTGGGTGACCCCCAGGCTTGACCTTCTTGTCAATCATCTGTCAAAATCATTTCCCATCCACCATGCAACCGAAGCAATTAACACAAACAGAGAATCTGGAAACAAACCCACAACTAGTAACTCAGCCACCCAAAACTATACTTCCGTACCCGGACGTAGGTAACTAAAGTTTGACAGAAACTAGAAAGGTAATATTTCAAAACAAATGCATAATGTGTACCTTCGCATATGGTCTGCTCTGTTAATTCTTACTCTCACACATTCATATGTATGGTGGCAGGAGTTTAAATTCCTCCTGCTATAAAATTGCAACATGATGTAACACAACACTAGCTACCATGGTGGCAGACGTCTGGTTCAGGTCATAGACCTTTGGTTTGGAGAAGAAGAAGAGGAGGAAACAGAGCAAAAACAATATTTTCCTTCGGTAAATATAAAAAGAATGCCGCTCTGCCTCCCTGCAGGCTACATTTCGACAACACCGCCTTCAAACAGAACCAGCAGGCGGACTTACGTCAGGAGGAGGAGCTGCTGCCTGTGCGCAGTGAACTGTTCTTCGAGGTGTTCCCGTTCAACGTGGTCTTCACGCAGGTGAGGTGTTCATGTTCGGGTCCGTCTGTTGTCATCACTAGTGCAAGCTGCAAGGCAAATAGGACAAAATGTCAAATTCAGCAACAACAAACAACAAAAGAGAACAAATCAGCAAATCGGACACTTCAGTCTTCTGGAATTCCGGAAGGCCTCTGCTTCCTCCCCCCCCCCAAGTCGACCACTGGCTCCAAGATTCTGATACCTTCACGTTCACCCGATTTCCTGTAACCGACTTCCAGTCATTCTGCCTGTCAATCCTCCCAAACCCACGTGCTGTCAACCTACTGTTCCCGGAGAAACAGATACTCCATCCCACAGCTGAGCCACCCAAAACAATACTTTAACGTACCCGGAAGTAAAAAGGGAATATGATATGGGGCTTCACTGACACTAATTACAAATGAGGACGACTTATTAACTCAAAGTTTTTGGATGAATACAAGTGTATGTTCGACTATAAATTCCGTCACTGACGAAAGGTAGTGGATGCTACTTAGTTTGACATGCAGTTCTATACGGTTGCTTGAATTGAGTTAAAGTTGTTTTATTACCTGGATGTCTAACCTTCATCGACGAAGATGCCCTGTGTTTTTAGGACATGGTGATCCGTAATGTCGGGGTGGGGCTGGAGGCTATCATGTCTGACCTAGAGGGGAAGAAGATCAACGACTGCTTCCGGGTCGTCCGACCTCTGGTGGAGTTCACGTGGGACAACGTACGTACAGAGGAATCCTTTCACGTGGTTCTGAGAGTTTGTGTTCATCTGTGTCCTTCCATTCCATTTTTTTAAATTAGTATCATACTGCATTGTCGACAGACAAAAAATTCTTTACGTATTTTTGTAACTTATGATAAAGATTTTTTTCTTTGCTTTTGGATGTGCTCTCTTGGTTGCACCGCGAACATTTATCAAATTATTTCAAAGCTCGTTGGCTACGCATGAAAGTTAATACAATAAATTTAACAACGTTAGAGTTATCAACTTATTATTACTCAAAAACATAATCCATTTACCACGTGGAGGATAAGAAAATAAGCCATACCCAGATGTTTCTAAATTCATTTAAAACTCACCCAATAGAAAGAAATCTAGCAAAATTAGCAAAACACAATTGGATTCCGTAGTCTTTGCAAATTTATTTACAGAAATCTAATTCAAGGTCCGGAATACTAAGCAATAGATTTAATGCCCGTTTAGGACGTAAATTAGAAACATATTGTGGTAGATTCAAAGCTCATTGACCAAAAGTGGCTTTCTTTACGTTTGCACAAGACGGGCGATTTCAAGCGCCGTGTAAGTTGTCATTCCTTAATTTTTACTTTAAATTTTTCTCATGTCAAAGCCAACATGGTCATTTTGCATGTGAAGATACTTTAGTTTCATTGTTTTATTGTTGCGAGTTCTGTGCTGTTTTACTGTAGTTTGACACGCTCGCACTGCAGTACCGCGAGTGCCCGCTGGTGGCGCTTCAAGGCATAGCAACTAGCATAGGATGAAACCCTAGCAAACAGGCCACAAGGCGCACGACTTTACTACAACATTATACTTCAGTCAGTTATCTCGTTGAAAAAAAAATTATTTTTACAGCTACTATGTAAAAACGGTATTCTCTCTTTCCTACTACTGGGAAGAGTAAATCATTACAAGACAGTTGTGCTGCCTTGCCGCTGCAGGTCTTGTCTCATACTAACAACCTGTTTGAGCTGATCTCGCGAGACCCCATCACGAGAGGTGGCGGGTACGGGAGAAACTCCGGAAGCGAGCCCCTGTACAAGAAGATTCAAAGTGAGTTACTCTGTGAATGTTGCATATAATTAATGACATATTATCATGGAAATTTATCTGACAGTGTGTTGGTAGTACAGTAATCACTGTACGGTGCTAAACTTTATTCCAACACAAAGGATACAAAAGGATCGAATTTTCAACGACCAATGTCGCCTTCATCAGTATAATTAGTGAACTTCCGTACGTAATCTCGCGAGAGTTGAGGTTACAGACACGTGACCTTATTCACGCGAGACTTTACGGATACGAAATTGATCAAACGTGGCGCAAAGTCTATATCGTCCCACGTCTCTGTTTACTGAAGGCAACAGTGGTCGCTGAAAATTTTTGATCTTTGTGTACCCTTTTTGTTGGAATAATGTCTAGCATCGTACCATCAATGACTTGTGTTTCATAGTGATGTATAGAGCTACAGATTCGAATGTGCAAAAATGACAATTTCTGCTTCGGAATTTTCCAGTAGGACTAGGCCTCTCTGATGTTACATATTTATTCATCACTCGACGATATTAAACATCTTTCAATGACAATAGTGAATCTTACAGGTTCTCTACAAAGAACACAAGCCAAGCACCAACTAAGCCATGCGCAACACGGTGAGTGTACACAGTATTACGATTCAGCACAAGCTTCAGGATTAAGAATAAAAACAACAGCAGCAAGTCACTCAGAAACTCAGAAACGCCATTTGTTTGTTTGCAAATTGCCCGAGTATGCTTAGATGCCCATTGCAGAATTAGCTTTTGTGTGTTATACTCCCCGGATAGTCTCTACGGGTTTATATGCTCATGATAAAAAAGAAACAGCTTTTCTGTTTGTTGCTTCAGCTGGTTCTGAACTCTGAGTGACGTGTTGAGGGGGTTAATGGTAGTGCCCTTCGTTTTCTTATCTTTGAGATCTTCACACACGTGGACCATGGTCAGTCATCAAGAGAGCGTTCCTCGATACTTCCTCAAATCGCAGAGAACAGGGCGAAAAATCACATGATACTTGTAAAGGTAAAAGGCCCTTGATTTGGATGTCTTGACGCTGCTACTTGGAACACAAACTCGAAGTTTTTACTTTGCATTGAAGCCTTTGTTAAAGTTTTTGTTTGTTTTCATGTATCATTTGCACCTTATCTTTGAATTTGTATACCCAAGATATATTGATATTGGATAAGGGAATCTTAAACGTGACTGCACACGAAATTCTATCTTTAAGCACACCTTAAAGCCTGCGTAAGCGATTGAACCTTTACGTATGCTTTAAGCTGTGGGTAAAGAATAGATTCCTTGCAGTATGGCTAAAGCCGTAGACGTGTCCAGTAGGTTCAGAAACTTTTCATTGAATGTATACATTTCTGTGTTGCCTGTGACTTCGTAAAAACCCAGCCATTGACATGTTTGATGATGATGTATAGATGAAAACAATTACTTAGATCTTGTACCACACGATCAGTTTCATATCAGTACTACCTTTAAACATGCTGATGACGGACGTATTACAATTATATATTCTCTAATTTGGTACTGAATGAATTATAATAATAAATCCAACTTTGTAGGAAATGTCCATCTGTGTAAAACAGCCGTCCTCAATGTACAAGTGAATCCGCTAAATCCGACAATAGACCGATCCTGAAGCCCCGCCCACCTCCGTCAAAAGATAGAAATGCAAATATTTCAGCCACTCTCTCATTGGTCGAACCGCTAATTGCCCTTCTCTCATTGGTTGAACTCTTAATTGTGATGGATATTCGGGATCGGTCTATTGACCTGATGGGCTTACATACTATTGCTCCTAGATATACCATTATTATTATTATCATATACTTATCTGACATTACAAGGCTTTTGGATTTATGATTTTCTAAAATGAATTTCTGTTCCCTAGGTCACCATAACGGGGAAGGTGAAGAACCACGAGAAGGGGAGGAGGAAGACCGTAAGGCGCTGGACACCTCCCTGGAACTGCTGGCTTACCAAAGCATCACCGGTTTGTCTAGGAGTCATCTTCTCTTGCAAATTTATCTGCACAAAGAGTTGGATTTACCAATGCCAGTATTTATAAATTCTAACAAGTAAAATCTGAGATTTTATACCTCCGGGCTTTTTATTGTATATCTTTATATATGGTTTTAAACAAAGAATTTGTCGAGACCGGACACCCCTCTGTGTGAGGGGTCATATATGTGAACCGGACCGAGAATAGCTTAAACACGCCAAAGGTCAACGGTCGCGACCACTTTCACGATCAAAGGAGTGTTTTAGGTCCACTAAAAGGCACCATTTTCACGCCCGAAAACACATATACAATAAAAACAAAAGAACGTGCATCATCTGCGGCCCAATAGCAAGACATATACCGAATCTCAAACGAATCCGTCCACCCAAACGCGAGAAACAGCTGCGAACATGACAATCTAAATCTCTCACAAAACCCTTCCACGGAAGGATGTCTCCTCCCCCGGAGGTAATAAAGTCGAAACTGTACCGGAATTTTTGCAATACTGTAGTAAATAAAAGTCAAGTCAAGTACAATGTACAACCATTGTAAAGTCTGAAATCACCGGACTTTTTTATTTACTACCATTGTCGAGTAAACATAACCAGATTTACTGGTATTCACTACCATTGATAAAGCCAATGTACATGTAAATACCAGTAGATAATTGACAATAGAAGAAATAATATCAAGTTATTTATAACCATTGTTAGGTGCGAAATCACCAGACTTGACTTATGTACTACCATAGTATATGTATTGTCAAGTAAACATTACCAGTATTATTGGCAAATAAAGCTAACGTTCCGTGCAGTGAAATTTTCGGCATAGTGTAAAAGAAAGATCTAGATATAGAATGGATTCTATTGGGATTTTTTTGTCGATTCGTCAATGTGAAATAAATATTTACTTGATTTTTTCTCTGTTAGATGCTGCCCAGGAAGGAGTGGACGGCATCGAAGGAGCCTCCAGCAACTGTCTCACACTGAAGGGACAGATGATGTTCATGAAGGAATGGGACTCCGTCATATTCATCGGAACTCCGATGTGGGTATTAATACGGTCATAGACTCACAGAAACACAGATAGCATGTAGCATATATGTTACTGTTCATGCTTTTCGAATTGGTAAATTCAAACTGAAACGGTCAAGACAATGGCCGAAGCATTTTGGCCTGCAATGGAGGGTTTGTTGCGACGAGTTCTACTTTAGAAGCAACGGATGCGATGAACTGCTCAATACAAAGCCAACTGGTCCCTTCTAGACACTGAGATATGTGACTATAAATGCCAAAGGATGGCGGTGGATGTTTATTTTGAAAACTTGTCGATTGCATTCGACATGGAGGCATGTGTTTGGGAGGGAGTTCCATAATTTTGCAGTCCAGGAAAAGAAACCGTTACTATAGAAGGACTTTGAAACAGGAATTTGAACGGTGTAATGATGTGAACATTAGAAAGACATTACAATTAAAATCTATCAGAAATGTACGTTAACACACAAGAATGGGCATTAGTGGAGATTTTGCAAGGCAAGGTTCTCCCGTTTCACAGTTTCTTGTTAAATCTATGACATAAATCAGGGCGATATCGTCGGAAAAATCATCGCACTTGTATTGTGCGATGTTTGTAATGCCATTCTTTGTCTCCTTACGAAAATAGTTTCATCAGGTTGGTAAAGTATAGCAGGATACAGGAGTTTTCTTTTACTCAACCAAGATTTCTCACCTTAGTGCTGACGTTTTGGTTCTCGCCGCAAAAGCGCCACCTACATCGTTTACATATAGCGGCGAGAAGCAGAACTCCCGTCAGAAGCTCTGAGGGCGGTGTCTGATAGACGCCGAAACGTCAGCACTTAGATATTGGTTGTGTAAAAGAAAACTCCTGTATTCCACCCTTTCTCTGTCGCTCACAGTATGGAGAACCTGGAGGCGATGTACCGGATCGGGCTGTTCATCAACGACCTGAGTATGCACGACTCCAGCCGGGACCTGGTGCTCACCGGCACCCAGCAGTCAGCAGAGCTCAAACTCGCGCTCGATCAGGTAATCCTGAAAATTGATATACCCATATGATAGAACTACTGAACATCTAATGCCCCTGTCACATGGTCGACGAACTTCGGTCGTATTTGTCAATCGCCGAAATATCGGCCTATTATGAGATCGACCGACGATCGCGCGTATTTTTGGCTTGAAAACCGCCGCTGTCACATTGTGCGAGGCTCGGGCGATCGCTTGGGAATACATCTATGATAATGAAGTCCATATGATATGGCAAGCAGATGGCCAGTGTATCCACCTAAAAAGGAATGGTTTGGCCAATTTTTATGTTTGACCTGTCGTAATATTTTTAGCAAAGTAATGGAGCGGACTGGCAGAATAAAATAGAAATATAAACAGGAAGTCTGTGGAAGATCCAACTCAATACTACCACTAGAGCCACAAATTTACACTACCGTCTGGTTAACATAAAGATCAACTTTTTAACCGAACGGGAGTCGGTCGAAGCTCGCTCGACACACGGGCGTATGCCGCTCGAGTTACGGTCGACGATTAATCGATGCTCGCACGATCTCTAGACTATTCAACCAAAATGTATAACAACATAATGATTATCATTATATTAAAATCTTTTTTATACACGTGTACGTGTACCTGAACAAAGCTAATAAGATTTATTGTTCTAAAACTTTGCCTCTATACTTCTGTCTAAAATAGTATGAATCTTCCGGTAAACAAGGTTATTCTGTAGTATCAGATTTACATGTATGATAGCTACTAAAACTACTCAGGCACTGAACCCCAAGTACATGGGGAATATTATAAGTATTGGTCATGGCATAAAAAAGCAAGAAAAAACAGACTTTCGCATGGACAGCGCTACTGATAATGGGTGTCTTTCACATGATTCAACTTGGAGAACCAAATATTCTCCAGTCAGTGTGCCTAACCTCTTATTGTTGTTTTTCATACATTGTACCATGTCTAGCTGTTGTGTGATAAAGTTCATTCTTTGATATAAATTTACACTACATTACACAATGTATACTGCTACACGTCTAAAACAATTATCTTAAGAATTAGTTATCAAAGTTTAAGGTCCCCAAGAGATTTTTGTGAAGAATCTGTTTCCGATGCCTCCACCATGTATACCCTGCCGTTACACCGGTACCTAACACTACCAGTACAACACCGACAGACTTGACAGGACTGGGGAACTCCGACTGAATAATGTAGTCCAACAGCACTGTAAGGGGGACTGTGAATGTCGTTATGGTGGTAGCAATGCCCGCTTTTTCCGTCTTCAGTGCTAGTTTTGTAGTAAATGCTGTGCCGCTGACACACAGGCACAGCCCGGTAACGTACCCCACCGTTTGTGGGGACATCTCCCAACGTGGGATCTCAAAGATGTACATCAGTCCAAGCAGCACCACTGATCCAAACACGTTGTTGTAGAACGTCACGGTTAGAATGGAGACCCCCTGTACCCCGATGAGCGACCGTGCGAGCACGATATCCGGACCTTTGGTGAAAGTTGTAGCGAGTGGCAGAAGGATGGACGCCGTCAGACGCTGCGTGGACGAAGTGTTCTCTGTAATCATTCCAACTGCAACAACTATCACCCCGACAACATTCAGAATAATTCCCAAACAATTCACAACACCTACAGTTTCCGTAAGGAAGAAAAATCCGATACAGGCGGCGACGAAAGGCATGGACCCTTGTGTGATGCCGAGGGCGATCCCGGGAACAACAAAGACGTACGACATGAATCCGAAGATAGTTCCCAAGGTGTCGGGAATTATCAATAGTATCAAGAACAGAGTTTGTCGCCTGTCTTCAGTTGTCATCTTTGGTCTGAAGAAGGGCAGGAGGACGAGGACAATAAGAAGCTGTACAAGTTTGATGAGGAATATGAGCTGCAGCCCAGGTACGCCCGCCTGACTACTCAGGGACATGAACTGTGCCGAGAAGGCAGCGAACAGTGTACTCAGCAGAGCGTACAGCACGCCGGCACCAGATGTCAGATAGGTCCCTGTAAAACTGGATACTTCTAGATCTGTAGCCTCCTCCGTATGAGTCCCTGTCGCCATGCCTTTGCTTGCTCTCGTTGTTGTAGCTCATCCAACACCAAAACCCATTACAAACTGAGGTGGAAGATTCGAGGACACCATAATGACTTCAGTTGTTTGACCAGTGTGTACGCGTCATCCTTTCAGCCATGGCAAACTGAAGTGAGCTCGACGCCTAGGGGAAAATTTCCCATCCTCTTAAATACAGCTTTAAGTGCAATCATTTGTTCCACCAGCTTTTCCCCTACCCGGGCCCAATTGTTCAGTCACAAAATTGTCAGCGAACAGGATTCCAAGGACATTGTATAATGTCCTTGAAGAAACTAACTCGCCCGACGGGTCTGTGAGCTCTGGATTGCATGAGCTATATATACAAGTACCCTCCTCCCTAGGCCCTGCACATTTCCTGTCCTAATCCTCATTTAAGTTCGTCTCTCAATCTCAAATCATTATTACAACAACAGTTTTACAACGGATGGTCAGTATTGTACTGGCAATAAGTAGATATTATCAGGTCAAGAATATAATAATAAATGAAGAATGTGAGAAACCAAGTACCGATTGAGGTATATCTTTAATCTGTCAAAGGACTATACTTTATCATATACATTGCACTCTGCTCTAAAACAATTCGTTCAGTTAAAACTTTTGATCCGATAGAAAGAAATCCCTCACCTAGAGCTTTCGACCAGTCACTTTGGTCTTCCTCAATAGACTGACCCAGTGAAGCTTGTCACGTGGCTTATATGAAGTGTGACGTCAACAAGGTACTTGTAGACGATGTCGGCCCCCGTCGCGGTTCAATGAAGGTTGATGGGCCCCGATTTGTATTAGAGCAAAGGTTTTAACTTTAAACATGTAACTACCAACACAGATGAACTTTCATGATAATTCGTTCCGTTGTATATTTTTTTCAGGAGCAGCAAAAGAGCTCCAAGCTAGAGGAGAGCATGCGGCAGCTGGACCAGGAGATGAAGAAGACGGACGAGCTGCTGTATCAGATGATACCGAAGACCGTGGCCGACCGACTGCGTCGCGGAGAGCCGTCCGTTGAAACTTGCGAGGTTTGCGACCTTTTGCGACACTTCGACTTCAAGTCCGCATGGGCCCTACAGCAAACATGCGAGGTTTGGGCAGTTTTGCTTTTGGGCCACGCACGTGACATGAGGGTCATACGAGAACTCTGTGTTTCGACTTTTTACTCTTCATCTCATTCGTGTTGTTTGTATTCTGAACTGACCCATGGAAATTCTAAATTACTATCTCTAAATTCTTTTTATCTTTAAAACCTAGAAGTTTCATAAATCAATAAACCATTAAAAGAAAAACTAAAGAGAAATCCAGAACCCAGCTCCATCAGAAATGCCGTGACGTGGCCGGAAAGGGCTGCCTAATGGAAATTGTTTCAAGACACTTGATGCCATGTTACCATCTGGTAGTATGGCATGAAGTACAACCCTGCTTGGCAAAGTTAAAAGAATTAGCTAGAAATTTTCTAGCTAGAAATTAGCTAGAAAAAGAAGGCTCCCTTTCTGTGCATCCTTTAGACTAGATCAAGACTAGAACGTTTCAGTTTTCAGGAACTTTGCGACATCATGCTGTTTGACTTCCTCTGACTTCTTGTTTTCCAATCCAAGTGTACATGCACTAACACTTCCTGTCATGTTCATAGCGTGGCTTCAATCTGTAACCAGTCTTTTGCGAGATCAGCAGTCACGTTGTCAGTGCTCCGGGATTGTCTGCTTTCTAACTATCATATGATATGAACAGTATCATTTATTGTGTACTTTGTATGTTCCGCTTGTATGTTTTGCTTGTTATTATTTTTGCTGAATTCATTTCAAATCAGACATGTATTGTGCTATTGAGTATCATCGTGGTGATGAAAATGAATGACGACATAGACGAAATATGTATTCTTTTTACAAAACCTGTATCAAAAGTGTTTTGGCTCTGTACACTTAAAATTATTAGTTATGTTCTTTTTTGTTGTTTGTTTGTTTTTGTTTGACGCGTAGGTGTTCCAAGAGGTCACGATCCTATTCAGTGATGTGGTCGGCTTTACCAAGATCTGTAGCCGCATCACACCCATGCAGGTTGTATCCATGCTCAACTCCATGTACACCCTGTTTGACCAGCTTAGCGAGAAAAACCAAGTGTACAAGGTAAGTCGGAATTTTGGGGGAATTTTTAAGTTTCATAATGACACTAATGGCTTCTTTTCACTTGAATGCTATTTTACAAGATTGCACGTACACAGTCATGAAAGAAACAATAGATCGTACATTCTTTATTTTTGCGCCAAATCCTATTGTTGAAAAATTTGGTTCTTTCTTCCTTTCTTAAAGTTTGTAACTCAACCATTCACTACGTAGTAGGATATGAGTTTATTTATTGTTATATAGGTGCATATGTTCTATATGGGACTATAATTTCTTGTTTGATCATTATTTTCCTTTCTCATTATATGTTAGCTTCTTTTATTAAATTTATAACTCAAATTGAAGCTAATGGTGTTGTGGATTCAGATCGCAATTATTATGAAATGTTATATGTTATCAGTCATTATTTAATTATTATTTCATTGTTTACTTATCGGTTCATTTCCTTCCGGTACGTTTCTGTTGTACGTGTTATTTATGTTATCTAATGCAACCATGAACGGATAAATAAAACAAAGTAAACAAACTCAGAATAAGAACCATTGTTTATAGTGTGTGGAGCTAACATTTAGCTCATTTGAAACTTTATTCATACACCTTTTTGCAGATTATAAGTCTGAATTGTTAGTCATTTACAACAATAAAAAATATTTGACAATCAAACTCGGTTTAAATTCATTAGATACAAGTATGTTAAAATTGTATAGTACTCTAAATAAAAGCTTACAAACAAAATTTAATCGCATCCTTCAGGTTGAAACTATCGGCGATGCCTACATGGTGGTCTCCGGTGCCCCGACCACCACCAAGTACCACGCGCACCACGTGTGTGACATGGCGCTGGACATGATCAGGTCCATGGAACATCTGAAAGATCCGTCCACGAACGAGAACCTCCACATCCGAGTCGGTAAGCCATCTCTCGTCCTGTGTGTCAATGTTGTAAGTACGTTGCGTTGTATTTTGAGCCATTATCATATTACAGCTGCTTTTTCTGCAAAGTACTCAGCATTTGATGAAGAGTATGGACACACACACACACATACATAGAGAGAGAGAGAGAGAGAGAGAGAGAGAGAGCGCGCGAGAGAGATGGAGAGCGAGAGCGAGAGATAAGGAGAGAGAGAAAGACAGAGAGAGAGAGAGATACCAGTGGACTCTGGAGTAGTGATTTCACAAAGTGTGGGCCAAGGGCTTTTGGAACGGAGTTAGACGCCGCCCTATGCCCCAATAGGTGCGGGAAGGACTCTGACATATATCATTGCAGCAGAGTAGTTGATTGAAGAGCAAATACTGGAAAAATGCAAAGACTGGCATCTTACGACAAAAAATACTGATACTGAACCATATATTGTGTTACCTTATTTTTCGTGCCCACGTTCCCCACAGATCTCTGATGATGTTAACTTCAAACATTGCCTTCTTCCTGTCCTTTTCCAGGAGTGCACTCCGGTATGGTAGTGGCAGGTGTGGTGGGCCTGAAGATGCCCCGATGGTGTCTGTTTGGAGAGACAGTCAACACAGCATCATACATGGAAGCCAGTGGCGAGGTAAATGCCTTTGTCTTCATATCCTTGTATACTAGTACGTCACATATTAGATCTACTTGATATCAGCTGATTGGCAAGATATGGATATTTGACATGTCCTCACTGTTTTAGTAATTATGGTGTTAAGTTTTATTCTTTACCTTTTTGTACCAAACACCGATGGGGACACAGACGGATTTTGTTGTCGCCAATGTGCCAAGATCTGCATATTTGCCATATAGTTGTTGGCATACATTGTACCACGTACAATTGTCGTGCAATAAGGTTCTATCATGATCGATATTGTGACCCCCACACGTCTCTGTTATCTGCTTCCGAGGAAACTTATTTCATCCAAGACCAACACACGCGAAAAAATAATATTTCTGTCTGAGAAGAAACGTTACATCAATATCTCCACTTCCCATATTCCGTCCTATCCAGGGCATGCATGTCCACATCAGCCAGGTGACAAAGGACTATCTACAGGGACAGCCGTACATTATCGAGGAACGCGGATCCATCCCCGTAAGTAGTGAACCAGACAGTTGATTCCTCTTCAGAATGTCAAGTTGTTATGGACGAGGCAATATTTCATGTAATATGTGTGCTGACACGATATATAAATGTAGCTGACGGAATCCCGTTTTGAGCTTAGACTCTCAAGCATCTACTAAATAGAACATATACGGTAGCATATTCTAAATAGCATATCCAAATAATACGACGATGTTCAATATCAATAAAATATCTAGTTTATAATATCCTATTGGAGCTGAGATTTCCATGTATCTACTAAAACGCAACATCTATACCGGTAACATATTCTCATAAAAGTAATACGACGATGTTCAATATCAATAAAAATTCAAGTTTATAGTATCCCGTTTTGAGCTTAGACTCTCAGGTATCTACTGAACAGTTAACATCAATAGTAGCATATACTCATAAAAATAATACGACGATGTTCAATATCAGTAAAAAATCTAGCTTATAGTATCCCGTTTTAGCTTAGACTCTCATGTATCTACTAGAAAGGCAACATCAATAGTAGCATATACTCATAAAAAGAATGCGACGATGTTCAATATAGCATTAGTGTCTTGAAGTTCATCTTGTTCAGACATATTATTCCTACAGCATGTAGATAAACATGGAGCATAGTCAGCATGAAAGTTCATCTGAGTTGGTAAATTACATTATGAAAAACTTACTTTTCTCCAACTCAAAATTTGACTCACCAGAAATTTTCGACTGAATCACTCAGTCTTCCTCAGCTATCTGACCCAAATGCTGTGGACACCTGATTTTTCCCACGTGTGACGTCAGCAAAGGGTCAAAGGTTGTCTGTCACACGTGGGAAAAATCAGGTGTCCACAGCATTTGGGTCAGATAGCTGAGGAAGACTGAGTGATTCAGTCGAAAATTTCTGGTGAGTCAAATTTTGAGTTGGAGAAAAGTTTAAGTTTTCATAATGGAGCATAGTCGTTGATGGCACAATGTTCTGTAACAAACTAATGACTAATGTTTTTTTCCGCAGGCCAAGACAACCAGCCAGGCAAACGAGATAAGGATTCAGCTTGGCGAGGTAAGGATGTCTGAACTCTTACCACAGACTGTCTGTGTAGTTATCTGATTCAGACATGAAGCACGAGCAATAGTGTCATGCAAAAATGTGAAATAAACTCCAAATTTTGTTTTAAAAGATGTACGTAGGAAAAGTATAATGAGTAGTGTATGGTCTTCCTATCGCTCGCTTGGAAAATTGTGTGAATATATTTCATTATCTACTTATTGTATTAATATTAACTTTTGGACATAATTCAATCTTTTATAGCTGTTAGCTGTTGCGACTCATGAATACGTAATGTAAACTCAAACTCAAGTACTGAAACTTATCTGCAATTTTAACAGCAATTCAAATGTAAAACCGCCAGATATCGGAAGAGTATATACTGCCTCATTGAATGTCTACAGGGGAATGAGTTGATGAAGACCTACTGGCTGAAGGGGAAGTTGAGGAATGACGGAGGAGAGTCGGTCGTGTCTCCCCCGGTGGAGGAGGCGGACTCCACCAAGAGCGAGGCCGGCTCCGGTCCGGTGACGCCGCAGCTCAACTTCACCCCCATGGTCGTCAACAAGGACAAGGCGAAGGACGCGGAGGGAGACTCTCCGGACGACAAGAGCCACCAGCCGGAGACAGTCGGGGCTACGGGAGGAGACAACACAAGCGTAAGCTATCGTGAAAGTTTATCCGTTGGTAGTTACATGTTTAAAGTTAAAACTTTCGGTCCAACAAAGTTAAAACTTTCGGTCCAACACAAAGAATGGTTTTCACCTAGAGCTTTCGACCAGTCACTCTGGTCTTCTTCAGTCAGGCTGACCCAGTGAGGCTTGTCACCACGTGACTTCTCTGAAGTGTGACGTCAACACTGGGTCAAAGGTACACGCTGTCGGCTCCCGTCAGAGTTCAGAGAAGCCACGTGACTAGTACCACTGGGTCAGTCTACTGAGGAAGACCACAGTGACTGATCGAAAGCTCTTGGTGAGCGAAGTAGGAGAGAAAAACTCAGCATAGATTAGACGTGGTGTCATTAAATGACTCACTTCCCAATTCCCATTGTCATGTAAAATGACATTAACTACTTAAGTTGTGGAACAATTGGGCACATACTTGATATTAACCTGTGACATTCATGGTTTACAGAATGACGGCGTCGAGCTGGAAAATGCAGAAGAGGAGGAAAAGGAAGGACATAACCTCCGCAGGCTGTTCAGGGCCAAGAACAGCAGCGTGTGCCGTATCTCCTGAGCGGCGCGGTTTCGTTAGGCCACAGCAAGTAAACTTTATGGATGACATCCTCCACAGACTCCAATTCTAATGCGACAGGGTGAGAAAAACAAGGCGGGCCAATAAAAACAAGATTCCTACGTTTTCAATTTTGACATCATCATAAACTTGTTTTATTCGCACGCTCGCATCGGTTTTGGGGTATCCAGAGGATGTCATCCATATAATCAAATCAACATGGCCCAATTCAGTGTCAATGTCAATACGTCCAACTTCATGAGTATGTCATCACCTGTATTTTGACGATATGCCCACGGGTTGACGCAATGAAAACGATTCGTGCACTGGTTCTTACCGTATCCAGTGTGTGAGGATGCCAGTATACAAAAATTTAGAAGTGCCCAATAGACTCTTGGCAGTACACCACAGACAACACACTATATTTCTTGCATCAGCGAAGTCTTACATCAAAAGTGATCCAATTATACTATTCCACCACAATGTTTTGAAGATACTTTACAGCTCATCTTGACTTAGGGCTATTTTGTTATGTCTTGATGAGTACCAGATATACCTGGCCTGGATTTGAAATGCTTTTGATATCTCTAAAGCTTGGGAACATACAGTGAAAGGGCCCTCTAAATGTAGACTAAATATGACTGTTGAAATATCATACATTTATTATGAATAATAACTTTCTAAATTCTATCTGTTAAATATAGCAGTGATGGTTGTCTGAACTCTATGTCGCATTGTATATCAACGTACGTTATCTTACGTCTACCATGAGGGCTTTAATTAACTGTAATATATGAAATATATGTCCCTGTGTAGAATATCTCCCAGTGGTGTGGTCTGTACCTATGTGTCTTACGGCAAAGTATTATGTCTAATATGAGGGCTTATGATAAGTATACTTAAAATGTATATGAGAAATATATAACTGTGTAGAATGTTGACCCGTGGCTTGATATCGAATTTGATTTTCTCCACGTTTGAAAGAAGTAACTAGAGTAACGTTTGTTTGAAATGAAGCCGCATCGCAACAAAATCTGTCTGAACATTAAATGATTATTGTTGCTGTACCGGACGGATTTCATTTCTTACGTGAACAAGCATGTGGAGGTTATCCGTTTTCGTGTATTGTTGTGGAAATTGGTCTTTCCACTAAATAGTTAAAGATAGGAAACGATATATATGCAATTTGACCACGTTCAATGTCGTATTGTTTCAGTATCTTGTATATCGTAATTAATGATATCGACTTTGTACGTTTTATCGATAATCATCATGGTAGGACATGGGTGTGATATTTTGTGGGAATAAAGGTAACAAAACAAATCAATGGCCATCTGTTTATTGAATATTAAAATCCTGATTCATGTATCATTAAGAAAATAAGCCCGGGGGTTTCAGAAGTCTCTGGAGTATGAAACTTCTGATTTGATTTGATTTATTAGGCATGTATACAGCCAGGACTGCCCAACTAGCCGGAGGCTATTATAAAGGGCTAGCCCTCACAACAAGAACACGAACAATTCGGGAAACTTCTGTTCTTTGAACTAAACCAATTTAAGTCTCTGCATTGCAAACCAGATCCGTGAACTTAGCATGAAAGTTCCATCCGCGTGTTGGTATACTTCATTATAATGACGGATGGCTAAACTTTATCTTCCAAGTTCCAACACATTCGGGCCAACCGTCCAACACTGAACAGAGACGGGGGGCGACACAGGTTATCTGACACGTATGACCCTCTGGTGCAATCACGTGTTTCAGCTCCGTGTTTACGACGTCACGTATCGGAAGCTCCAGTAGACGGGTCCATTCCGCGAAAAAAAATTGGGTAGGTCCCAATTTCCATGTGTTGGAAAAAAACGTTAAATATATATATATAATAGCTATTCGTCATAGATCCGTGAAGATGTTATATTTTTGGCTATGAAAAGTGTATCACGACGCAGCTTTTGACCTTCGCCCAACAGTACTCTCAGGAATATTTTCTTAATGACTTGAAGTGTTCGTGTTTGAAGCACCGGTCTTGTAGAATGGATGGCGCACTTTACTCTTCTCTCCTAGGAGAGTACCTGTGAGCACTCGAGTGTGCTGTGATCAAATCACCTCATTAACATGCATATCATGTGTCTAAACAGAATATAAAGTACAAAAGTAACATTTGCAAAAGCAAATACATAATGTTTACCTTCACATTTGGTCTGCTCTGTTAATTCTTACTCAAACACATTCGTACATATGGTCAGACAGGAGTCTAAATCCCTCCTGCGATAAAATTGCAACATGATGTAACCCAACACTAGCTACCATGGTGGCAGACGTCTGGTTCAGGTCATTGACCTTATTTGTTTGGAGAAGAAGAAGAGAAAGAAGAAACAGAGGAAAAACCATATCTTTTCCTTCTGCGAAGGTAAACATAACTAATTGACAAATTATCATTAATTACGAATACTAGAGATTTGACAGTTTACAGAGTTAATAAACTGTCAAGGAATACTATTTAAATAATATCTACGATTGAATGTATACATTGTGACTTACTATCAAGCAAATATTTTGTAGATATTAGTAGATATTATTGTGTGACAAAGTATAGTGAATGTTACTTTAAACGTATGACAGTTTTCAAAATCTATCCAGTTTCGTAATTGAGTAACTGTTTTCTTGCGTCTGTGTATACCTTCATCGACGTATATTGTCTAATAGTACGTACATATCCATGCTCCCCCATTTCTCATTGGTATTACCCATATATCAAAGCATTACAAAGCTATCCCTCACGCAGTCCAACCATTTAGCTGTGACGTCCAGCGGTATCACCGACACTGGAATCTAAATTGGGCCCATTTGCCATCACCAGCCTGTGTGCTCTCTTCCATACGCGGAGTAATAAATTGGAATCACGACCAAATTGCCTCCATTACCGGAAATAGGCACGCAAATCGCCTAACGGATGTTTGCAGTGGTCATTATACGGCCAACCGATTCATCAGTGACGTTGAGATGAGACTTAATTATTACATATACCTGCAGTCAATTTGAATTGGTTCTTAGGTTTGGTGTCATCTCACATATGACACTACAGATCGATATTTGTTCAAAGTACATGATTTATCGCCGATTCTCCGTAGTTTGCAGCTGTTGACGCGTAAAGTGGGCTCGAACGAGTTGATTATATTTCCTTATATAGCGCTTCTTGCCGTAACGTACCGGCGAACGCGCGTGGAATAAGAAATACGCAGACAAATTGGACCCCAGAGCCAACATGTGACTCCGCGAATATTCAGTAGTCCGCGGCGCGGCGCCTTTACGTGGTTCAGAGTGGTCCCGCCCGGCAACATGGCCGCAGAGACATCCCCGTAACCAGTCCACGTCCGTGCGTTCGTCTGTCCCTCCTACAGACTCTCTTCTCCCGCGGTCACACCGAGATGATTTGGACTTCTAGGCCGGGCTGAAGCAATGTTGCACCGATGACGATCGGCCCAGCCCCGGAGACCTACTCTATGGGCGCCGGATGCTCTCGTAGTGCCAGTCTTTCTCTCACCGACGGACGGTCCAGGTACAGCGTACCGTGAGTAAACAGTTCTTTCTCCATACTGACGAACACCGATTCACCAAAGCACGTACAAATTGCAATCTTTGTAAAAAACACACATATATAAATATAGCACAAATCCTTTTGTGATTTATGAAAAATGGATATATTTATTCTAGTCTCTTGTAGAATAGAAACGACATTTTCCGAGTGTCCCTGGATCTTACGTTTTAGTAGGCTAACAGCTGTAAGCAAAACAATAGGTGGACTTTATGTTGCAATAGCTGCCAACAGAACACATGTTGTGAATACAAACGTCGTCTGAAACACTGTTAAAATTCTTTGTCACATGGAAAGATAAAAACTGGTATATAGTGGCCAGTGCATGCTTCAAAGCATAGGACTTGTTGATATATTGTAATATCGTATTGTTTATATTGCTGTGAAGAGCAGTGTAAATAATATAGGGTAGTGGATTTAAATGGTTCTCATAAGCAAGAATGTAGCATACAGCTGTACTGTGTCTTCCAAACACTGTACATAAACCACGAGAGGTCAGGATTTGAGAATGTTTATATCAGTCAGATAACGATAAGTTACATTCTCCTATGCTATAAAATAGATATCCCTGAGAATTTTCTTCTTATTTCACGTACGTGTGATTAACATTCACCAATATTCGGTTTTTACGATAGCTAATATCTTTATCTTTCTCCACTATTGCATCATAATTCCCGTGTTTCATTGTAAAACATTGACGGGAATTCATAAAATTTGCATACACATATCTAGCATATGGCCTCGGCTTGCAATTCCAAAGCGTAAAAAAATGACATCAGAGAGAGGTATTCGATTCGAAAACACATGCCGTATGGGTGGGATTGTGCGTATAAATGTTCGTCAGTCTTTTAATCTATGGTCGATAGAAATAATTTCAAGTTGCATCGGATTCTGCCGTATCTGGATTGACTAACCAGTAATACTTAGAATAATAGGTAACTGTGGTAAATTAGCTATCGGTAATCAATTTTGCAATCATGGCCAAAGTAGCTTCAGATGAACGTAATGGCCAATACGAGCCATTCACCTTACTGTTGGTTATTAAAATAGATGTAAGTATCAAACACGTTCAGAATAATGGAAAAATATGAGCATATTATATTTTCACCCTGGGAACTCTTGAAATGAAACTGTGTCTCTACAAGCAGAAAAAATCAATTTCAAAAGGACTCAGTCAGCAGTTCGGCACACGGTTTGGTGCTCTGATTTATGACTTTATTTGAGTAGAACCAAATCGTACAGTTTGTCCCACGTGAATGAATGAATGGTTTATTGTAGAAACATAAGCATTTCGCAGCCTATTGGCTGAATTACACACTCCTTTGCATCATTCTAATCAACATACCGGGGTAATAGCTGACTGGTAATACAGTTAAAATTATTTTAAACGTTCAATTTGTTTGAAAGGTTATGTAAAGCCATAGAATTTTGAACAATTGCAAAAGCCTGATTAACAAGTCAAAATAATTTTTTTTCAATTTTGGATCTTCATTCGTACTCTAGAAGCTAGACAGATACTATGAACTAAAACTGTTAAAAACCCTTCATTTTCAAACAGCAGAAGTTGGTGGAGGAGATTGTGACCGTTCTGATATGCTCCGTCTTGTTTCTATTGGGGCATTTGCATACTTGAACTTGGCCACACAATATGATGTATCAGGAATACACAAAACTGTGCAATAAAGGCATCAACGTGTCGATAATTATTAAAAAGAAAATGCATAAACACTAGAGGTATTACAGTCTGTTTTTATTTTAGAAATTTCACCCCCCCCCCCAAAAAAAAACCATGGTTGTATTGCAGTATTCTTTGAATGGCTTTAAGTCTCACATGATAAGTATCAATTCCGATAGAGAGATTATGGCACTAATAACGGCATTACGGCAATATACACCATAAATCCCCATTTGGATTTCTTTTCACAAGATCCCTGCCATTTAGGGGTACTCCGAATTGAATTATTCAGAGAAATTGTGTTTGAATCAGTTCGGCGGGGTGCCAAAGTGCAATAAAGTAATTCATGGGTATCGATCGACGGAGAGCCCTCGTAACGATTTCTCTAACACAATCAACAGCTTTTACACGTAGTTTAGGGTTTTTCCATTAGTAGGGACGGTGCCGTATTGAAAGCCCTTTGGTAGCCTCCTTTTCAAGCGTTCGGGGATCGGTCGTTTTTTTTTTTTTTTGTTTGGGGGATTTTCTGATCAAACGTAGATCGCACGCAATAGAAGCTCCGGCCGGCAACCCTACAGCTCTCCCTGGAACGCCTGCTAGATTTCGGTACCGTCAAAGGCAATAATGATTAAGAGTGTCTTTCAAAAGGCCAATTAACGTATCCGCGACGGTACCGAAATCTAGCAGGCGTTCCAGGGAGAGCTGTAGGGTTGCCGGCCGGAGCTTCTATTGCGTGCGATCTACGTTTGATCAGAAAATACCCCCCCCCCAAAAAAAACAACAACAAAATGACCGATCCCGGAACGCCTGAAAAGAAGGCTAGCCGTTTGGCACTGCTAGCTAGAAGGAGCCTACATATGCCGATGAAAGGAAACTAACAGTTTCTACTCTCCTGCGATGAAGAGTTTTTTGCATACAGGATAAACATCACTTGAGCTGAACAAAGATTCCAGGTTACTGATCATAGCTATTTGTACGTAAAGCTTTAACAAAGATACGACATGAAAGAAAAGGGGTATTAAAAGGATTCTGAATCGCCATGAAACACGGCCAGACTATAGATTTTGATATTTCACATGCAAAAAAATATTGTCTTCAAAGACGAATTAATAACGGTACTTAATAATATACAATCAACTTTAATTTCATTCTTTATTACAACTGGAAAAATTTATGATTAGTGTTGTTCGCTACTGATAATTTCCAAAGCAAGTCACTTGGCATGCAGTCGACGTGATACCAATGTAAAATACAATGCGATAGATGAATACAAATAGAGCATATTTTCTGTTCGACACGATACAGACTAGCATCTGGCAGGGATCACGCATTCCCGGAACAGATGGAAGTTATCCAATAGAGAGTCTCATGTTAGTAAAGGGAAATCACGTAACTGATTCCAGTTGCTACCGGTATTGACATAATCCGGTTTACGACGGCTAACATCTGGCGCTAGCTGCCGCAAAGTTGTTACCTCCATGAAAAATGGAAGTATTGTTTTTGGCGTGCCTGTGTGTGTGTGTGTCTGTCTGTGTGTGTTTCCACAACTTTGTGGCCAGCATAACGTAAGAAGGCCTTAATGCATTGTGATGATATTTGGTATGTTGGTAGGTCTTAGGAAGACAAAGGTCAAGGTCGAATATGGGTCTCCTGGTGGCTGACCTTGGTACTGCAGCAGAAAATAAGTTTTACTCTGCACAGCGTTAGTTTTTTTTAAAGACCTCAAAGAATAACCACTTTGTAACCGCGGCGTTTTCTTTACATTAAGTTGAAGAATGGTTTGGTTGGAACTCCCAAACGATTTTATCGATCGACCGCCTCAGCAGCCGAGATCACGGCTCCTGTGTTAGGCGATGATGTTAACATATACCTGTGGCAGGAGTCAGTGGTTAACGTACCTGTGGCAGGAGACGCCGGTTAATTGCCTCTTCACACCCGAGTGGTCCATGTCATCACACGTCGCCGCGCAGAGTAGCATTACTCCAGGAGTTCGGGCCATTCCTGCTAGCTGGGAAGAAACTAAGTGTGGGGTATAATATAATAATAATAGACTGGTTTATTGTTGATGAACAAATAAATCCCAGGACCCACTGGCAGCCGAGATGCATTCGGCTGAATTGTTGGGTCTGGTTACAAAATACAACATTATTACGATTACAAATGGGCTATACAGCTGTTTACACACATAGGGATAAAATTTAACAATTGTTTAAAATCTTAAATACACCATACTATTATTACAAATATTGAAATATCTTAAAAGAGTAATTTGTCGAAAGGTTCTTAAAACGTTACAGTAAAGATAAGATTTGATAAGTCCTCATTGGTACTAGTATCCAAATTTTGAAGAGACGAGCTCCCTCAAAATTAACAGTTAAGGCGGGAAAGGCGTTAAACCTATTAGTCAAGAGTTACTTTCACATTGAGTTCAACAGTTTCAGCATAGCTGGGACGGGTACATGGGTGGTTTCTTCTTCTTCTTCTCAAATATAGCCCATACTTCATCATGACAAAAAGGCTAAACATTCTGTCCAACACTAAGTAAATTGGGATTTACCCAAATTTTCAACTCCGTCAGTCTTGTTCACGAAATGGAACCGTCTACTGCAGCCTCCGAAAGAGATAAGCAGCAATGTATTTTAATATGACCATGTTGTTCTGAATGGTATGGGTAGGAACTAGAAGCATTAATTTCCATAAGAGATGCATGTGCATTGTTAGCTGTGCGTGTCGTGGTAAACAGATTTGATATTACGTTTGATGCTGAATCAACGCCCTGTCATATATATATATATATATATATATATATATATATATATAAAGTTAGTCTCCTCCAGACTCCTTTTGTAGGCCGAATAAACCGTAGAAATCGGCATAAAAAAAGGGTATTTAAATTGCACGGCCGCTGGACCCTCTATGACCGGCTCCTCACCTCACCGGTCCCATAGCAGTCTGTCCTGCCGTCGGGGCAACTAGACTGTCCACAAGACTTATCCACCCAGGGCGGTTCTCAGCCAGACTTGTCAGGTGACTCAGGGGATGTCCTGTCCATTCCTTCAGGTTCCTTCATGGCCGGCTACCTTAAATCCCCTTTTTATACGATTTATTCAGTCTGCAAAAGGAGTATGGTGTAGACCAATATAAAGCCAGTATCGGAATACCTGGTAGTGTGAATCCTACTTGTAGACCTAGCGTAGGCGTAAGCACGCCTGTAGTAAACAGAACATATGTTTTTGCTGGCTTAAACACGAGCCGCATACGCTCATTAAAGTCACCTAATCACGCAGGCATTTCAAACAGCGGTATATCATCTGCCGCCAGGGATTCATTAATACAGCAAAATGAAGTAAACATGTGGTATTTTTTTTATCTTTGCTGCTTTATGGATATACATGATTCCCCTTGCTCAATGACAATTTATAAATAGGGAAATATATTCTGATTTATAGAGAAGTTTATTGAAAATTCATACCCGGAGGCTAATTGCAAATTTATTTAGATTTATAGTTACATGTACAATAGATGGGGAAGAGGGAAAGGTGTATGTGTGTGTGTGTGTGTGTGTGTGTGTGTTATACCTAAATGTTACCCCTTGCAATTGAGACATACGTCAATACCAGAAATAACAAAAACTGTTGCGTCAATACTGGTAAATCCTGCTTGTCTTTCCCATCTCTAGATCTGTCGTTCAAAACACTGTCTCTAGCAACAAAATTATCCATGCGCATTGTGTATTCATAGAGCTACGCCCACGTAAAGATCTACCTAGGTTGGCTGCAGTGTGAGTCAGTATTGCTAGATGTCGCTTCTGTTTATTACTGACAGGACGGAGGCAGTGCAGATGAACCGGAAGGATGCGGAAAGCCTTGTGGAGGATGCAGAGACAGGCGATTTCCTCTTGTACGAGGATATAGACACGAGGAGAATGTGGCTTGCTGTCAGGTACTCATTAAAAAGTTACCTTCCTTTTTAGTTAATTTCGTTCGATTAGAACATAACCCCAAAAGTCTAAGAAACACAAAAGAAACGCCGGAATGAAAAATTATTTCTACACACAGAAGAAATTCTTCTTTGTCATTTGTCAACGTTACAGCTGTAAAAAATTTGATGTAGTTCAGTCAACTTACTTATTATGCAGACTGGTCCGTTACAATACCTCATTTTGTACTTCTTTGTTTTGTCTTCATTGTTATATCGTTTTCAAGTTTCAGTGTTTTCTATCTCTTCTGGCGGTCCTATGTAATGTTTAACTTTAGGAACGAATGATGGTGATTTCTTCATGCCCTACAGGACAGAGGAAGGTGCGCGTCACCACAGAATATTTGAAAGAAACGGAATCTACTCCATCAACAGACAACCGTTCGGCTATGTCGACTCCATCGTCATATACTTCAGAAAATATCCGCTTATGGACGTCATCCTCAAAAACCAGGTATCAAATACATGTATATGTATCCATTCACTTCCTTTCTTCACTTGCAATATATGTATACTATTTTTAAAAATCCGAACTAGTTCTGAATATCAAAGTTCTTTATTCACAACCGCTTGTTTACAAGAGCCCAAGGGTTACAAAGACTGGTTTACTTTAAGTTTACCTTAAGTTATATCCAACATGAAGATGACAGACGGTCATCTAAACGTCGGCTCCTGCTAGTGCTGTAATCAACTATCAACGGGTTGTGAATAAATAACCTTTAGATTCAATCATTCACCAACCTTCTGGACGTTTTTACGGATTTAACCCAACTAGCTCTTCTAGGTAGTTGGATTCTACATCCTCACTGTTGTTCAGGAATGATCTCAGTGGATCATTTGCCATCATATACATGTACATGTATGATCTAACATTCACCTAGGCATATCCCTATCCCTTACCCTAACCATGCCATTTCCCTAAGCCATTCCGGCATACAAATATAGTTGCAGGTTAGCCTCTATCAGACTTTGGGAGCCGGTTGGAAATAGAGGAGAAACTGGCCAAATACATGTAGCGGACCAACTCCCCTGGGCCTGGCATGTTATCTCTCTCTATTTGGCCAAAATCTACTCTTTCCATCTGCTGCAGAAGCCTGGTAGAGGCTAGTTACACTATGGGCATGGAGTTACAACACATAGTAAGTAAAGAGACACATAGTTAGTAAAGAGAAGAAGGTCGTGATTTAGAATACTGTACAAAACGTGTACCCAATAAACTCAATCAAAAACATTGATATGAATTGCATATAAGATTCTATCAATTTTACGGTTTTCCTAGGTAGAGATACCTCCAACAAAAAGGAACAGAAAGAGCCGAGAACTTTCAATGAGAATAGAGACAGACCACGGCACTGAGGGAGCCAACGGAAACGGAAATTGCATCATCTTGAACTCGCCCAAACCTCCGAGACACGAGAACCATCAAAGTGGGAACGCCATCGAAAACCTTGTTTGACGACCTGTCAACAACAATGACAACAACGTCAACAACAGTGAGGAGAGAAGGGAAACAACAAAAATGCAACGACGTCAACAAGATCAACAAGGGAATGGAAACAACAACAGAAACGAGAACCATCTTAGTGGAAACGCGATAGAAAACCTTGTTTGACGATCCCGTCGACAACAACAATGACAACAACGTCAACAACAGTGAGGAAATAGAAGGGAAACAACAAAAACTGCAACGACGTCAACGACATCAAGGAGGAAACAACAACAACAGAAATGTGTGAGAAAAATCTTCTTGTGAGGATGACATGCAAGAAACATTGAGCCTGCCTTTGGAATGAAGTAATGTCTTATGCCATAAAATTGCCGATCTATATTTTATATCAGTGAGGCCAAGTACTTGTTTATATATTACCAAAAGCAATAACATCACTCTAGTTTGTGGCAGCGCACGATTTTCTAGAAGTAGTAGGCGACTACAACGTGTCTAGTCCTGTACACCTTGACTGACGTTTTGCAATATATGAACAAACTGTTTACTTAGAAATGTAAGAGGACAGTTTCAGCCATTCCTCATAGTTGGTCTGTCTTGTTGTTTTGCTCATCTGATCCTAAAAATTATAGAGATTGCAACGTCTTATGTTAAGACGTTAGTGTTTGATGATGGCAGTTTTAAATATATGACTTCCTTACATATCAGAGATAAATTATTATTGAATGTGAAGGGTCAAACTGTTTCTCACAGCTGGAAGTTCAGTTTGAAGAGAAACTTTCAAATTTCAGCCGCCATCTTTTTTTGAAAAGGCCACCGCGTGACCCAGGGGTTAAAGGTCACGCATGTCACGTAAGGTCACTTGTAAATCATGATATCTGAGTTGTACTTGTAGAGTCATGGATGATTATCTAGTGAGTGCTGTATGTGAATTCGTCTTTTTCTCCAGCAAACAGGCAAAAGACCTCTGAATTCTGAATTTTTCTTAAGATTTGCCGGGCACAATTAATACAGGCGACTGCCATGATGACACGTTCAACTCCAACTTCCAAATGCAGTGACATAGCGGTACAGTACATAATGTACACATGCTGGAAGAAATATGCATAATTAAATTGGGTAAACAGCCAAGCTTACGGCAACAGTATACGCGAATAGTCTTAAAATCGGCCATTCGTTCAACTTTCAAAGAAAGTGTGTCAACAACACAATTTAACATAAACATTGCATAGAACATGTTACACGATATGTGACATATGAATATATTTTGCATGAGCAAAAAATGTATTGTCCGTTATTATTTCAACAAATCCTATGCGAGAATATTGAAATTGTTCGTATCAAAATATTGTTTAAGGTTGTATCAGGCTGGACCTGTCGTTTGTGCAATAAAATCATGCCATAAAGTTGCTATAATTTCTCCCATTGAAATCACGTGTTCCTGTGTTTACGTGTACTGAGAATATAGCAGCTCAGTTGCGTCATTAAGACAAAGTGAATAAACTTTGTAGAGAAAGTCTTGATGATACTGTTTGTTTGTTTGTTTGTTTGTTGTGATCAATTAGAGCATAAAACAATTCTCGATTAAGGTGACGCATATAGGGCGGTGCCCATCTCCGTTTCAACAGCCCTGGGCCACACAGCAGGGGGCTAGTCCACAAATGGTGGTGTGTGTTCAAGTACCATACTCTTTGTAATGCACAACAATGGAATTTTTCTAATTTTCTCATTAATTATGCAAATTGAATACTCATTTACATAATTTACTTCCGATTGTGTACATCTCCGTCTAAGCTACCTACATGCCAAAATAATGAAAAGTCGTTCCTTTCTTGATTTATCCACAAAATTTCACTGGAAACTCCCCTGTAGTTCCAGAACAAGCTGCTAGGGGGACCAAACCTACACCACTTGTTCCTGACATGAAAAGTTGTCAGCCACCAATAGACCATAGCATGTCCAGGACAAAATATAAAAAAAATGAAGTTATATTGCTGTACCAAGGTCAACCGCAAGGAGGCCCAAATTTGACCTTGACCTTTACGTTCCTAAGACTTACCAGCATACCAAATATCATTACAATCCATGAAGGCTTTCTTATGTTATGCTGACCACAAGTATGCGGAAATACAGACAGACAGAGAGAGAGGGGGGAGAGGGGGAGAGAGGGAGAGAGAGAAGCAGACAGGCAAACCAAAACAACAGGTAAAAAACGGACGAGGGCACGTTGGCCTTCTAACGTCCCCAGCAGACGTCACTCTGAACACATTATGCTTACCTTGCTAATGCTGTGCCTATCATTTGTTTTGCACAGGAGCTCCACCATAGACATACACACCGCCCCCAGATTACAAGACTTCTGTTTGTTTCTCATAGACTTTGCATTCATCAACCGATTGCTTGGTGGAAAACAATACATTAGCTACGACGTCGGTTGCCTGAGACGACAAAGAATGTTAAGGTAAAACAATAACATCCTGCTGGCTCGTGTCTTATGTAAGCTGCAGTTGTTTTTGCCTATATAAGAAGGGTAGGAGCGTTAAATGACTTGTAGAGTCATACCTACCGCTGTTGGGAAGACGTATACGTAAAACACGGGCGCAGACATGTTGGCCATACTTGTTATCGCTCTTCTGGCACCGACGGCATTGTCAGGTAAGTCAACGATATGTTATTACAAAAATTAAGATATTCTTTAAAGTATTTTTCGCGAATATCTCTAAAACTAAGATAGCACTGTCGATAAGTACGAGTAGTGTCTTGAATCTTGTTCATAACGTTTCAGACATACAAAGATTCATAACAGAAAAGTGAAGAACTGGCTAATACTTACGTTTACACGTGTAGGATGAGGGCGGATATTTTACTTATTTTGCATGATTCAATTATATAAAATCCAACAAAAGGCAAATAGCTGTCAACGCCCTTTTGGCAGTTTGCCCCCACAAGCCTTAATTGTTTTACAATTACACAGGATTCCATTTTTGTTCAATGGATATATATGTATCATTTAGTCAACATTGATACACTAACAAGGGACTATTTCTGTCCTCTTTCTGTAGGGGTAAAGATACGAACGTACAATTTTCCCCAATTGATGAAAATGTCACATGCTGAACAACATTTACAACAAACTTGAACCTATATAGATGATGAAAAATGTATACTTCTGTATGTCCTTCCAGCCGACGTTGTGTACGTGACATCCATCCAGGGCTGGGAGTACTACAAGGTTCGTGTGTCCGGTCAGATGACACAGACTAACATCCAGGCAGCCTGCGTGGCAGAAGGCATGCTGTTCCCGTGCATGCGGGCCAACCCGGACTGCGGCGGCGGCCAGCAGTGGACGGCCGACTGCCCCGCCCTCCCCGATAACGGGACCGACCCGGGAGCCTGCCGGGTTCAGGTCATCATGTCCCTGAGCGCGTGTGGTATTCCCGAGCCGTACATGTGCCCGCTGATGGACGACACGTTCATCTACATCCCTGGCTTCTCCGCTAGCGAGACGTGTGGGATCGACCTAGACGGGCCTACGTGGTGCGTGGATGGAGGCCAGGTCAGCGACCTGTACGCCACCTGTGTCAAACGTAAGTATCAAAAAAAGATTTTACTGTACGGGATCGCATGGCGTTATGCTGGGGTCACATTTCCAAGCCGGGGCCCGGCCGGGCTGTTTCAATTAACGAAAAATCAACACTTTTCATAAAGAATATACGTAAATAGTTCCATTGTTGATATTTTTCAACCTTTCTGTGCTTTGTTGCGTTTTATACCATATTTTTCGTTCCAAATGACTACCCGGCCGGGCCCCGGTTTGGAAATGTGACCTAAGCATAACGACAGAGCGTTCGGAAGCTAGAGGTGTCGTCTTTGAATTCTGTCAGGCCACCGATCTTGTGCCCTTGGGAAAGCACTTTAATTACTCAGGTGAAAATGAGTATTGAAAAAAAAAAACATGCATGAGTGTGCCGTCACCATGTCTTGTAATAAATGTTGGACTAGCAAAAAAGGAAGGTTTTGCTGACTACACATATGCTGCGTTGTTTTTAGTCTACACGAGTCATTTTGGTTCCGATCTTTTCTCGCTCTATGCTCGATTTTGGTAGCTCCCTGTATAATGGATATGCAGCCATACTGCGGCGAGGTCACTTTCTTTGTATGTTGCTGGGAAATTTTGATGGTTTTCAAGCAGACTATGACAGAACCAAACGCGTAAAAAGATCTAAGACAGCTTTTCTATAACAGGTATTATATATAATACATTGTGTGCGACATATGCACACCTATCTCAAGAATATCAGGTGTAAATGAGTATTGTATTGTCCCCTGTTTTGGTGACGGCATTAATATAAGTTGAAAAGTTGAGTGTGCCGTCTCAACGTCCTGTAATTACATGTTCGAATACTTAAAAATATCCTCAACTTGCGATCGTTGTAAACTACTTTGTTGTAAACTAGAGTGTGTCTTAAAGTTTGTACATGAAGTAATTTGGGGCTTCCCTAATGAAGTTACACATTTTGTCGCGTCTTCTTCCCAGTTTACGTTTGGTCTATCTATAAGAGAGTATTGATTGTTTATTATTATCCATCACAAAACTAAGAATCAGTTGTCACAAATTGCGAATTGAAGCAAGAAGACATAACCGCACTCCCCTAGAGCAAAGAATCTGCCAATTTTGTAGTGTAGATAGAGCAAAAATGTACAATAAAGGTCTTCATTCATTCATTCATTCATTATTTCTAGAGCACGTGAATGGATGTCTGAACCATCCGTGTTTGAACGGCGGCCAGTGTTCAGACCTAACTGACGGTTACCAGTGCATCTGTCAGACTGGATGGACAGGCCAGAACTGCGAAACCGGTAAATATGCTATTTTGGCTTTCGATAAAATTATATAACTTGGGAGGCATCCGCTTTTGTACCGTACTAAGCGAGTGCAAGGAGCCCTGTTACGAAGCGGATGGCACCCTGGCTAAAATCATATGCTGTTTGGTAATTTGTTTGACCTGATGTTTGACATGATCTGACATATTTTCTTCTTTTGTTCCACGATAAAATTCTTGTACCGATTGACCTCAAATGTGGTAATATGAACTATGATAAATCCTCACAAATCAAAACGGTGTCACACACCCATGAAGAAGATGTTGAAAATTTAAGTCAATTACAAACTATTTACACGTACTTATGAATTTCTATTCACTATCCCTACCCAGATGTGGATGAATGCGCCAGCAATCCTTGTCAAAACGGAGCGACCTGCACAGACGGGCTGAACGGATACCTCTGTACCTGTACACCCACGTGGACCGGTGATCACTGTGAAACTAGTGAGTTATCTTTACTTATCATATAGTTAGAAGACGTCGACCAATCAGAAGGCTGCATTTCCCATTGGTTATCAGGCCGTAACCTCAAAAACCACCTCATTAACCACCTCGTTCGCTACGCTCACTTGGTGGTTTATTCGGTGGTTATCGCACCTGACCAGGGATTATCTCACCTTATACATTTGGGTATGTGTGATAGGGGCTTTATATACGTCCCAAAACAACAAATATATCACTTTCTTTAGGTTTTCGTACTTATCGTAATTTCAACTAGTTTAATTTTTGTATATTACCCAATTTCAAGGGCAGCCTGTCGAAGACCTCGTTTACGACGGCAAGTGTTACCGGCTGTCCTCTTCCTCCGCTACCCACGCCGACGCACAGGCAAGCTGCACCGCCATGGGTGGACGCCTGGCGGTCGTAAAGGACGCTGGGGCACAGGCCTTCATCGTCAACCAGATCCGCCAGGAGGCGCTAGTGTCACACTGGATCGGTCTCAAGACCACAAGCGTCACTTTCCAACACATCGATCAATCACCATTATCAGGTAACTTGACATATACTAGGATAATATACTTAAAATTGTTTTCAATCGCTTAAATTGTTAAGATCGACTGTTTGTCATGTACTTTAGGCCAGCAAAAGACATTTCAGTAATCTTAAGATTATACATTTTTTCAATCCTGCTAATTTAGGATACACAAACTGGATGCCAGGAGAGCCTGCCGAGCTCTGTGTACTTATGGACAAAGACAACGATTTCAAGTGGAAGGCGGAATTCTGTGACAGTCTTCACAACTATGCCTGTGAATCGGGTAGGTAGTATATATGCTTCAATCCCATATCCATCTTCTTCATGGTGATATTGAATTTTTCCGATATAGATAGAGAAGAAGAACTTTATTGCACAACAGATGTAGCGTGTACAACGTATGGCAAAATGATACACACATAGTTGGTGCTAACAAGGACATTGTACAATGTCTCTGGTGCTAACAATATCTAACAGTTCTAAGAGGTGACAGTTCTAACTGCTCTAAGAAGCTGATCTACTTCCATACACAACAATAGATATGGATATGAGACTAAGATGGTGGTTTTGACTAACACGGACGTTTTTACGCTAGCCGAGGGACCCTGTCGTCTCAACGTCTGTCAAAATGGCGGCAACTGTACGGCCTGCTTCGGCGACGATTTGGTGCAGTGCGCCTGCCCACCTGGCTTTGAGGGAGAACACTGTGAAATCGGTAAGCACGTTTTCTCATGTATGTTGTTAGATAAATCATGAATGTGCACGTGAAGAGGCGTATTTTCTGTTCATGAAAATGTATTGCGTGACATTGTATTGATATTGTATAGTACTGTATTTTTGTTGTGTCAGAGAGGGCAGCTTGTTTTGCCCTCGATTCCACTTGTACACCTGTACATGTATATTTCCTGTATATGTACCAGTGGTGACTCCAAATAGATAAATAAAACGATGGCAATTTTTACAAAGTTTGATATCTATCGTTTACAAAAAACAACAACTGTTGTACACTTTAAAGTGAAAACTTTTGTTCCATCACAAAATTTTACCTTTGACCCAGCGTTGACGTCACACTTCAGAGCAGCCACGTGACTAGTCTCACTGGGTCAGTTTACTGAGGAACACCAAATTGACTGGTCAAAAGCTCTAGGTGTTCAGAACATTTGTGTTGGAACAAAAGTTTTAACTTTAAACATATAACTACCAACACAAATGAACATGAACTTACATGATGCTGTACACTTTGCCCTGTCAGATATCGACGAATGTACGTCCTCGCCCTGTCAGTTTGGCGGGACGTGTAAGGACGGGATCGACTCTTACATCTGCACCTGTGTGCCTGGGTACACCGGGGACAACTGTGAGCAAGGTAGGGATTTTATCTTTAACTTATCTATTGTGGGGTCGTGTGGCGTAACGGCAGAGTGCTCGACTCGGAACCATGAGATCCCGGGTCCTGAAATGCCACCGATCTTGTGCCCTGGTCTTGGGAAAGGCGCTTAACACAACTTTCCTCACTTAACTCAAGTGGCGGCATAAAATGAGTTAATATAACTTGAGGGTGCCGTCACAATGTCTTATCATGAAAGGTTGGAATATGTATATATAGAAACTAATCTATTCACCAACAAGCGATCTGAGATTCCGGAAATTCTTGTGAAGTTTTGAGTCATTTGCGTCATGCCAAAGACTTTAAAAATGGTGCATACTACTTACTCTGCTTAGCACTCAGCATTTGGGGGAGAGTATGGCATTAAACACACACAACTACCAGTTGACTAGCCCCTGCTGTAGTGATTGCACAACTGTGTGGCCCAAACGGAGACGGGCACCGCCCTAAACATGGCATGGTTCGGGAAGGACTTTAAATTTTTAGTTCAAACTTTTAAACTAATCAAAGTAGGACTGAAAGAAACACCTCACAGCCGTCTAGGTATCACTTGACCTTGAGGCCAATCTGTGGTAACCAAATCCTCCTCGTTCCCCAGACATTGACCTGTGCCACCCCAACCCCTGTCCGTTCGGCTGGGAATGTGTGGACACAGGGCCGTCCCTCACTTGCAACGGTAAGTTCTTTTCTTTGAATTGTAAACTAACTAATGTCTAACTCCAAATTACTTTTGTCATGACGAAGAGGTTTGCAAGTCTAAGACCTTTGAAGTTTTGTCTAAGATTTTAAATATCTAATTGTCAGTGATAAAACATTTTGTGTGATTTAGCGTTAGAGGCTTAGTATAGGCCATAAAACTACTATTAGGCCAGGGTACTATACATTGCAACAATCATATAGTGAAAAACTTGAAGACAATTATTCATGGTACAGTGTATTGCAACAACTATTGAACATAGAACAAAGGAAGGATAGGAAATTCTAATTACTAAAACAACAAGGCTAGCATATATATATAAGCCTTTGACATGGTAATACAATCAAGTGGTATATTTAGCTTAGCATTGAAACAATGCATTAATAAGTAATTAGACCATTTGTACATATATGATGGATTTTAAAGTGATATGTTGCCTTTTCTTCCCAGCGTTAGGGTTCGACCACGGCCATGCCCATGTACGGGCGGCAGTTCCCCGCCACAGCTGCACCAAGTCGTCCTGTCCTGCCGGCATGACGTGTGCTGAGGCCGGCCCGGGCTCCTACTCCTGCACGGTCGGCTGAGGAACAGCCTGTCTTCCGTAACCAACTCCGCATCCGCACCGATATACGCTACTGTACATGTATCCAGAATTAGAACTGGGCAAATCTAGTCCTGTGGCTTATTTGGTTAGAGATAGGTTCAGGCAGTGTTCTGGATAGTCTAAGTTAATGTATATCCTAGAACCAAGTACGTTATAACGCCCTTGCTAGGATCAACGACGTCCTTCGGTTCTGGCACGGATCTGGATACATGTGAACTGCCCAGAACTGTGCCTATCTATTTCTATGTCTGATTTGGTTAGAGTCAGGATCAGACATGGTTTTTTTATAGTCTTAGCGTATCCAAGAACGTAGATTTGTCCCTGGCACGCACGATTCTGGATATACGCGTAGACTATCCAGAACCATGTCTGAGCACGGTTCTGGATGAAGCACGGTTCTGAATACAACACCCGCGACATACGCGCTTGCTAGATTAGGGTTACTGGGGTTTACTATCAGTAACTACACCTTTCTACAGCAACAAACACAATCAAAACATTTACATTGACTGTATGCTATAAAAGCTTCCAAACCTTGCAATAGAATGGCTTTATTTTAGAAGACGTGTTATTCTTCGTAGTGACATGTGAGATATTTGAAAAAAACACACGAGTAATCCATGTACATGTTCCGACTATCAATCAATATTGTACTTAAAAATGGGAAATAACTGAAACATGCACATGTACTCTATCCTATCATTGCTGATACCCTCTATGAGATAATACAATGTACCTGCATATGTTTTGATCTTAATAAAACAGTGCATCAAACACGGATTGGATCATTCATTATAACTATACGGCAAGGAACTGTAAGCAATGTTGCCTCATCACAAGAGACAGAAATTATCTACCATTAGGATAAGGAAATACACTCATCGTTTGGTTGAAGATGTCCCGTTGTGGATATCTACAGCTAATGAGTCATGGCAACAAAGTGAGTGAGGTACGAAGGTTAAGGTAACTGATGACGTACAACAGAACCCGGTAATGCACGCAAAAGGGACAGGTCAGAATACCTCTAGTGGATTTATAAAATATCTTCTTTATAGCAATATACATATTGTAGTTGATACTAAATGTAAACTGTATAGCGCTACAGTTGTCATACATGTAGGCCATATGCACAATGTCAAAGCAAATGCATATTCTTGCTCAAACACATTATATATGGTGACTGGAGTCTAAATCCCTCCAGCTATAAAATTGCAACATGATCGATGTAACCAAACACTAGTTGCCATGGTGACAGACGTCTGCTTCACATCATTGACCTTTTGTGTTTGGAGAAGAGGAAACTGATCAAAAGCAATATGTTTTCCTTCGTAAATAGGCCCAAACCCAAACCTCTGCTTGGAGAGTAAGAACACAGGACTATTCAAAGAATGCATTCAGTTTGCGATCGTACGACATTCGCACGACGTTTGTGGCCGACCCCTTTGTTGTAAAATGTGACCTGCATTAAGGCATACTTATAATGCCAATGAAAAAGCTAAACCTGTCATATTTTAGCATGGTAAAGAATGACCTCAGAGCGAATTCTTCCAGCGACTAAACTCTAAATGACACCGCAGCAAGCTGTCAACACGAATCATATCATCACGCTTGCATGGCGTTAATTTATCAAGCCGCTTTTATGTTGATGACAATTATGTAGGACCCAAACGATAAACGCCCTCTTTTATACTTGACGTGTCCAAATAACCACACTCTAGTTCAGCCCTCTGTTTAGGTATGAAGGCCATGGTGCATTCTAAAGCCTGTATAAAGATAGCACCGAATTTGAAAATGATTTTGTACACCCTTGTGATGTCGACATTACTGCAAGACAGCCACCTTGTCTATGCAGGTAAGTAATTAGTATCATGATAGCATGATAGTTTTTATCATCATGATAGTTTTAATCACCATACGACATCATTTCTTCCCTGGTCTCACAGTCACTGACGAAAGGTAGATGCTAGCTGGAACGTCTGACCGTTTCCAAAATCATATACAGTTGCTTGAGTAAAGCCTCGGTCACAACCGACCGTACGTGCTTTTTGTCCGTACGTTTTTTTGGAGGCTACGCGTACGTCTGCTACGTATTGTCTAAAAACGTGGGGGAGGAGTGGCGTCGACGCACGTCACTCGCACGGTTGCGCAAGGTGTAAGTGTGTGGTCTGCACGCCAAGTCTGGCCGTGAGCGGTTGCGTGCATCGTACATTGCGCAAGTGGTAAGTGAGTTGTACGTGCTTAAAACGTACGGTCTCTATATGATCTGTACGATTTCAACTTTACCGTAAGGTGGCCGTATTCACACGTTCTTCTTCCGTACGGCACGTGCGAGGCACGCGCGTGGCTCGTACTCGCACGCACGGGTGGTGAATCCGCAGACCGCAAGCAGAAAAAGTTTTACATGCACTTAAAGTTCTACAGGGTGTGTGCGTGCTCCCAAATCCGTTGGATTCCGTACGGAGGCGGTACTCACCACGCGCGGATGCCCTACGTTTGCCCACGTTTTTGCACGTAGACAGCACGCAGAAGCACGTACGGCGGGTTGTGACCGTCGCTTAACTGCTTTTTGGCGTATTTTATCACCATAGTTATTCTTAGTAGCAGTGCAGGTCGTTTGGCGTTACGACAATCGGATTTCATTCGTCTTTGATGGGATGAATTTAAAGCGTGGATTAGCTTGTTTCTCACAACCGGTAAACCAACTATAGGCGTAGTACACCAATTTTGTACAACGAGTACAAGCTTAACCTGCGCAGGACCGGACAGGTTCGATCCAATCATACCGGAATGGTCCCTTACTCTTACTAGATCTTCTCGAGTTCATATAGCTGTGGGAGGTACCCAGATGTTTTAGGATGAAATGAATAAATAAATACCGTTTCAATGCCATCGATACACATTTCATACCGTACATATTGACTTGTGACAACCCCTACATGCTATACATAGGGATATATATTAAAGACTGTATTGATATTAGAAACTCCTTCTTCGATTGTGTAAGATGATACCTATCTCATATTAGCCACCCACTTTTGTATTATTTAGGTTAGCCTTATGAAAATGTAGTTGATATGTACTTACTTAAGTTAGTTGCGCAATAAAGTTATTATTATTATCGTCACAAACGTAGACATGAATACTTTGTTGTTGTTGTTTTTTTGTGCTACAGCTTATCCTTTTGACCAGTTCGTGTTGTTTCCCGACTCTGCCATGAGAGGAGCGAGTGAAAGCATACCAGGAACGACAGAAGAGCGCTGTCTGCGGGCCTGTTTAGAGGGAACCCCCTCCGTGCCACAAGGAGCATGTACTTCTGTGGACTTCTTCACAGGCAGTGGCAGCTGTCACCTCATGATACCCAACAAGTTGACTCATCCAGAACTATATGTTCAGTATGCTGGCACATTATACTATCAAAAACGTAAGATGGCTGTACAATTGTTACAATATATGAAATGATCACCGAAATTTCTTTACTATACCACAACATACAACACATCCAGATACATAGTTTAGAAGGGACATGTAGTCTATCCGTCCCTTCTAAACTATGTGTCTGGATGTGTTGTATGTTGTGGTATAGTAAAGGAATTTCGGTGATCATTTCAGAATATATTGATTTATATTAAGGACATTATACTACAGGTATAATGTCCTTGTTTATATGAAGTGCGTTATCCATGATGTTTTGATGTGTTTAGTGATTAAATATTCATGCGCATCATTCAGAAGTGGCTTTTCAAAAAGTGCAATTGTGCGTTTCGTAAGGTCATACATGCTGTCGTGTGAAATCATGCGCCTGGGTGAAGCTTTGAGGACACTGCCCCCATTTAATATCCCTGAGAGCTCAAACACCTCCCTAGGCATATTCAATGTGTCAAAATGCTAAAAGATGCTGCTTTTTAAAAAGATTTTTGCATTATCCATTTGCACATGATTGAGATAGTTGAGATAACGTGGCTTTCCATGTTGCCATCCGTCATCAAGTTAGCAAGAGACTATATATATATGAGAACGTTTTTATTCCCCAACCAGAGGGTTTTTACATCCAACGTTTCGGTGACTGTACTTGACAACGCTCTACCGTCTACCCTTGGGTCCGCATTTGTAACATTGCAGCAGCGACACCTAGCGGCAGTGCGCATCATAACCAGTCATTGTTGCCCCCAAGAAATGTAGGATATGAAAACCTACTGGTTGTTGAATAAATGTATATACTTTTCTTTGCAGTTTTTGATGAATGTACAGCAGGAATCGACATCTGCGGCGCGCATGCGTGTATAGACCTGCCTGACGGCTACACCTGCGCATGCCCACCAGGTTTCCAGTGGGACTGGGACGCGGCAGACTGTCTTGGTACGTCACGTGACCTTAGATGTGGATGGGGGAGGGGGTTATTGTAGTGTGAAATGCAAATGACTTCAAACAATCCATTGTCGATGTACATGCAAATTGTACGCACACACAGGCAAAAGCCGAACACACACACACACACACACACACACACACACACACACACACACACACACAACAAGACTGGCAATGAAAACATACATTGCCATGGCGACGGTGGTTGCTGTTAGGGTTATTGTTTGCATGGCACTGCCATCATTTCATGATTTTGAGGAAGACTTGGTACTTGGACTTTGGTTAAGTCTCTGTGGTTAAGTCTAGACAGATACAGTACACTCCTCCCCTGAGCGCATAGTGAACGAGCCCCGGGGTCACAGAATGTAGGACCATCTGGGGCAGACAGGTCTTCAGGGTTCCAGGTATGTGGGCATAGATGTGGGTCAGAGAAATGCCTGTGGACATTCCGCATGCCTGTGGATATTCCGCATGCCTGTGGACATTCCGCATGCCTGTGGACAAAAATGCCTATACAATTCCTAGAATTCTTATTATATCTATTTAGAAATAGTAGCAATGTCGCCTGTAGAGCAGAATTAGGTAGATGCTTGGTCCAAATGGGCACAACCTCACATTCCCTTCAAATGATCTCAAATGGATGCTCTCCTCTTACAGCAAAGCCTTCCAACAAATACCCGTAGACTAACTTTATTGCAACGTGTTAAAGAACATACCGGTATTAGATCACAATGGATACTCCTCTTTGTGGCATTCCGAATCAACATTGTGACCCTGAACATGTTGGGGGAAATGCTGAGAAGGACTCTGACTTACAGATATACACATGTCTTCTTCAGTTTACAAGAGAGAAGTCAAACCCTTCAGACATAGTTTTAGACATAGCTATAATTTTAGACAAATACCTTTCATTTGTAGATTTTAGTTATTTTATATACTGCTCTTCTTTTATGTTTGTAACTGGCAATTAGCCTCCGGGGCCGGGGCATGAACAGGAATGTGAATCAGCATGTGTCTGCTCAGTTGTGAATCTGTTCAATTTCCACAATGTCGCAAGGGTTTCCTGGAATTTCACTTCGTAGGAAAGTGGTCCAGAATGTAGGACATACACTTGAAAGGCATGTGGGAAAGGAATGTGGGTATGATTGTAGGTATGTGAGGAAAGCAGACTGATTGTGGGGCTGGAAAGAGAGATCACTTTGGCTTGGTTTGAGGCAGTCATCACAGGGAGGTACAGATTCGCGGCCTGAGTTCAGAGTTTACAAGCCTGGTAACCAGTCTCAGCGGGTCAGTTTAGAGGTGTTTTCCGACCCCATCAGGGAAACAAGGCGGTCTGTTTCACCACTACAAGGGCTAGTTTTCAGTTCTGTGTGGTTGTCCAAATGGGGACCTTCCACGTGCTTCTTACGGCCTGGCAATCCTTAGAAGGTAATACAACATCCAATGTATTTATGAATAAAAAGAGCCCTATAGGACACCTGTGTCAATCGTAAAAAGTAAAAATCTTCCTCTGTTGTTGGAACTGTGATAGATTTGTGTGATTTTAATTTTAGGTGAAACGTAAGTCTGTTATAAAGGACTATTAAATGTACAGGAAATAATCTGCCATTGAGAATGATTACCCGGGGAATAATTGTCCTATAACAAAATTGATCTAGTTAAAGGATTTGGTTATGCTTACCTAACGTTACCTATCAAGTTGAACGTCAATATCTGATGTCCACAAGAAATATTATATTAAACTACATATGAGACCTCACCTATCGAAAATGTACACAACCAATTCTGTAAAAATGTTCTTGGTGTATTTAGAAATAGTAAGCAATGTCGCCTGTAGAGCAGAATTAGGTAGACTTCCTTTAGATACAGATATTTGTATATAGATATACTAGTAGTTAAATTCTGGTTATGCTTGGTCCAAATGGACACAACCTCACACTCCCTTCAAACGGATGCTCTCTCTTACAGCAAAGCCTACAAATACCCGTAGACAAACTTTATTGCAACGTGTTAAAGACATACCGGTATTAGATCATAATGGATACTCCTCTTTGTGGCATTCTGATAACTCACATTGTGACCCTGAACATGTTGGGGAAATGCTGAAAAGGAGACTTACAGATATAACGTTACACGTGTCTTCTACAGTTATAAAAGAGAAGTCAAACCCTTCAGACATAGTTTTAGACTTAGACGTAGCTATAATTTTAGACAACTACCTTTCATTATGTGGATTTTAGTTATTTTATATACTGTTCTTCAATGGTCTTTTATGTTTGTAACTGGCAATTAACCTTCGGGCATGAATTTGCAATAAACTTCTCAATTACTATAGAGAGAAAGATATAGTACCTGTTCAAATGCAGCAGAGTTGAAGACTGTCGATGATACGTAGGGGAAGATGTTCTACACTAATTCAGAAAACTCACTTACTGCTTACTTCATTAACATCATGGGAGCTATAGCTATATGAGCTAGATAATGTTGCATGGGAGTGGACAGGGATGTAAATCAGCATGTGTCTGCTCAGTTGTGAATCTACAATTTCCACAATGTCCCAAGGGTTTCCTGGAATTTCACTACGTAGGAATGTGGGCATAGATGTGTGTCAGCAAAATCCCAGACATGCCTGTAGACATTCCATTCCTGTGGAAAAAAAATGCCTGTGCAATTCCTAGAATTCTTGCAAACTGCACACAATACTGTACCATTAGGCTCCCCCCTGAGGCGTCGCCAAAAACACGTACTGGTAAAAGTATTTAGTTGTAAAGCTAGATGAATCTCTTTGCATTCAATGGTTAAACTTCGATAGGACCATGCAAATTACCAGTGGCGCGGCCACTTTTAGGCTCTTTTGGACCGCGCCACTGACCCTGCTCGGGAGGTTGGCAAATTACATGCACATAAGAACGCAGTACATATGCCCACTGTAATATGGAGAACATAATAATAATACGAATCTTTTTTGTTCCAGACATCGATGAGTGTGAAATGGATAATGGAAACTGTACCGAAGTATGTACCAACTCCGCCGGTTCCCACATCTGTTCCTGCTATGGAGGACTGCCCATGGACAACGGCACCTGTCTTGGTAGGCATATATTGTCATCGAGATGTACCAAACCCAATTGTGACATATGTACCTACCTTGTTTGCTTTTCGATATTCTATTCCTTTTTTAAGGCCATGGTGTTTAGACTTCTACTTTCTCCTCATTCATTTGGCCTAAAACATAAAGAATCATATCTGCCTTTTCTTTGTACATGTATATTCTAACATTTAACACACTAACGCACATACACTAATGCTCATTTTCACCTGAGCTAAGTGAAGTGCCTTTCCCAAGGGCACAAGATTGGTGACATGGTAGGATTCGAACTCGGGGCCTCCTGGTTCCGAATCGAGCGCCTGCCGATGCGCCACACGACCCTACACATATCTGAGGTGATGTGTTCATCTTTTTTTTTCAGCCTGCCTTGCCGGAGACACAGACGGCACCTATGAATATGTGTGGGAACTGCAGCCTGTCACCTTCCCGTACATCGTCATGGCACAAACGGACGGTCCGGTTCACCTGGCCCTGTCTGCTGAAGCCGGAAATGTTGACCAGGCGTACGAGATCGTCATCCGGGGTTGGAGTGTGGATGGGAGCGTCATCCGCCGCAGTGTGGAGGGTCCAGACCTGGTCTCTGTCGACACTAGAGGCAAGTTAGACTAGCATATTTTTCATTATCATGATCAGAAAGTTTTGGAGTTTGAGCAGGCAATGTGTGTCGCATTTTCCTTTGATAAATAAATAGTACTATAGTGTTGTACGTGTGATATTTTTTTACATTCAGCTAAAAAAATTACGAACAATGCCGTATGAGAACTATAAGCCGTCGGTACAAATGTAGGAGTACAAGTGACAAAATGAACAATTACTTTTAGATAATTGTTCATTTGTTCTTAAAAGATAGTTTTACATTCTTGTTGCTTTTGTCAAAAATCGCAAAAACATCCAAATTGTGTGAAGAAATCCCTTTATGAAGGAAGGTTACATACATTTATCATATTTATTTTTAGTTTGTAATTTGTTTTAGTTTTAAGATTCCTGCTACGGTTCTCAGGAACTTTTTCTGTTCCTTTCTCGAAGGAATCCTAGCTGAAGGTGCCTACAGCGCGTTCTGGATCTACTGGTGGCCGAACGGAACCATCGCAGTCCGGCTACACGGGGAGACCCTGCCCTTCCTACAGTGGACGGACCCCGAACCTCGGCCGGTCAGCTACATCGGGTATACCATGGATCAACTCCCGGGGCTGTGGAGGTTCTGCCGAGGTACGTTGCTACTTTGTTACTACTAAATACTAGTAAACGTGAAATATCGAATATACACAAAGTGTTTGATACAACATCGACATGATATTTTAAGATAGTGACTGTAATACTATATAACCACATGTAATAGTGCCTGAACATTAATAATTCTTTTGGCACTGAACACGCGTCCAAAACAGTAAGTATGTCTATGCCTATGTATATATAATATGTAAAAAAAATGGAATTCTGCATGCACATCAACTCATGTTATGTTAGAAGTTGTACCAAATTCTTGAGCAGAGGTTTAGGCTTTGGCTTATTATTGGCTTGATCTTATGCGTTATTTTTATCGGGCTCTATATTTTATGCTAGTATGATTTTTTTTACATCAGCCAAATAGTTGGCAAATGATATCTGTTCGGCAAATGGATACTGCCTGGTCAATTTGACACTGTCTTTGCGGCCACCACTTGGAGATGACCCAAGCAAATTATCACTGAAGGGATTGGCAGTTAAATCGACATGCTAATGACAGCTCATGACTTATTATGCGTCATTTATTTCCATGTCAGTTTAACTATATTTGGTGAAATCTGTGCTGTTAATTTGATGATCATAACAAAATGAAAATAACCACTCGTATTGAGACATACAATATGTGCGTGGCGCGAATAGGTGTAGCTCATGTAGCCTCCTTCGCAGACTTCTGCGGAAACTGTCCCTCCCTGGCAAAGCCCCTCGGCAGCTAAACCGTCCCTCTGCGGCATAACTCCCGTCGCTCCCCGAAAAAAATAACACCGCCGCATCAGAAGTCTGCGAAGGCTATAGCTCATGTAAACTCTGACAGGACAACCACCTTTACAATAATGGAACCTGACAGAAATGGATAACTATTGTCGTGTACAAGTTAAGATGTGTGTGTGCTCATTTGTATTTTATCATGAAGTGAATGGAGACTGGAGTGAGTGGGGCAGTTGGGGCGCCTGTGACGCGACGTGCGGATACGGAACCATGGAGCGGACCCGGACTTGTGACAACCCGCCGCCGGTAGAGTATCTAGGCGGGACCTGCATAGGGTCGACCGGAATGTCTGTACTGTGTTACGTCTCGGGCACATGTCCAGGTACGATAACAGTTATTTCTTCCTACCTGCTGCTAATATATACACTATCACCACTGTATGAATACTTCCTAGCCGTTTGTCAAAATACAGTCAGTCTTCACCGGAATACTTTCTGTCAAAACGGCAGAAATTAACCAAATTTTGTGATGTATATGTAGCCTGTATTTTTCTGGATAGCTGATTAATTGTAATCAATTGTCTTGTTTTGCCCTTACTGCAAAACAGAGAGTGATTCTGGAGTACCGGTAATTGTGGATTATACTCAGTTTTCGAAACCCTACACAAAAAAAGCGTAACTATAGCTACTAAACCAACGGCAACGCATGTTTTAGTTCGTTTGTCTTAATTTATGAATTCGAAGAAATAACAAAACACCTAATATTACCCACAAAGAGAAAGTCACTGTACAATACTGTGATATTCAGATCAGATAATAGAATTTGTAATTTAATGTCTCGTGGTTTTGAATTTCCAATAGCTATTCGAGAGAATAAATGAGATTAAAATAAAACTACACATCCATAAATTTCAATTGGAAAAAAGCCCTTCACAAAGCAACGATAATGTCAAATAATGAAACGTGCCTTGCTAGGAGTCAGGGTCCAAACCGAATTCTACACTCTCCCAAACGTAGGGTTTGTTCGACCCTGGTGAGAGTGACTCCAACATGACCTGGCCTATCTGGAAAAACAACTGGGAATCTGGGAAGTTTCTGCCTCTGGACTACGACTCTTCTGAAGCGCCGGCTGAGCCTGGTTTGTATTTCATGTCAATATCATATTTGCACAATATCTACGATGAAATGCAAATCAATCGGAATTAAAATTGTATTTAATGGTACATGTTTGAATGTCCTGACCTCTGTGTCCAGAAGAGTTTTATCACATGCTTAATCAATGATGCGATACATCATTTATTGCGTACTTTCTTGAATACATTTGTGCTTTGAAGTATGAAATAATATGAATACCATACAAAGTTGTATATTCATAGTTCAACACATTGTAACAGACGCGGCAATTTAGGAGCACGTGTAGATCTGCACTGCGATTGGTTAGGGCGGATCAAGCTTACACTGTGATTGGCTAAGACAGGTCGTGCCCCGCCCGTGTTCACCACGTGATAGAAGTCCACTTGTACATCACTGTTGCGCAACATCAATTCATGACCCCATAGGTATTTACATAAAAATCCATTACTTCATCCCATATTTTTGGTTCTTTTACTCCAGGTGGGATGGACATAGCCTCGACTGTCTACGTTCTCAACATCAGCTCCCATTCAGAGGAACATGCTGTAAACTTTCAAATTTTTTCTATAATCCTCATACTAGATATGTACTGCATGCAATTCAACATCAGTTATGTTTAAAATCCAACAATTGGTAATATATAGTAACTAACTAGAAGAATCTACTCGAGGTTCCAGTTTACACTGTCATATTTTTTATATTAATTCAGCACAATTTCATTTAGTAATACAAGATGTCGATGGAACTTATATGAAACACAAAAGGATTAAACAAAGATAATAGTACATAAAACACATCGATATACACAATCTTTGCAAACAACAAGCAAACAACAAAGAAAACAATTTGGTGTCAGACTTATACAAGCGCAGGTCCTAATCCCCACCCCCTTGTCATTTCAGGTACATGTACAATGTAGGACTTAAGTAATTCAAATCTTATAAATGAAATTCGCCACTGTATGATTCCTCGCAATTGTGTAAGAACAACCCATGAAAAAAATTAAATGTTTAGGAGACAGAGAACAAATCAACATTGATATGCCTGCACTATTCCAGAGAATATCCATGAGAGTCCAGTACGTTCTGTGCTGGTACGATCCCCGTCTGTTCGGCCTGGCCCCGGGGTGGGTTCTGGTCCCGCCCGCCCTGCTCTGGTCCCCGCCGCTCGCGTTCGGACGGACGGTCCGCCGGGCCAGCACGGAAGAAGACGATGACAACAAGATGTGGATGAACCAAGATGGACTGGTTATTCTTCAGATAACGTAGGTCTTGTTAAAAATCATAAATATATATATAGATATATATCAGCACATTTGAAAGTATCTGTTTGTTACATTTACCTCTCTGGTATACGTGTGCTATGCAAACGATTCTATATCATCAAGGCATTTCTTGATTCTATCTAAATTCTTATTTTTTTTCCAGCCGTCTGCTAGAAGTGACCTGTGTGGCGAAATTGGCGAGGTATCCTCTCGACACTCAGGTCTGCTCTGTGGCTCTGCTTGGATGTAAGCCTAGTGTATTGTACATTTTAACATTGAATATCATTGAAACCCACTATATTCTGTAATTGTGTTACATATAAGCGTAACACTAGACGTTAGTGTACGATAACCAAAGGGAAAAGATTGAATCTTTGTCCTCCGTTATCTTACAAGACAACGGCATACGGTACCGTCTGCAGCCGTCTACATTACCCAAACGGGCCCCCATCAAGAGTGACGCTACAGGAGTGGTGTCACAGTTCACGTTCATCGGAGTGGAAGAACGGGCGGTCTTCAAATCATTCATCACTAACGGCACGGGTTAGTTCCCTTTCACATTACCGGGTTCTGTACTACTTACCGTGCATTTGAAGCTGGTGTGTTAAACAGACACAGATACAGATGTTCGGTTTAAGTCTTTGTGTCATATGTAGTCACTTTATTTTAATAAAGTGACTACATATGACACAAAGAAAAATCAAATTATGTATTACGTTTACCGAAGGAAAACATATTGTTTTTGCTACGTTTCCTCTTCTTCTTCGAATTCCGTTCCAAACACTGACCTCTGACCTGGCCAATGACCTGATTTGTTGACGTCTCTCGCCATGGTAACTGCTATTGGGTTACATAATATTGCAATTTCATAGTAGGAGGGATTTATACTCCTGTCTGACCATTTACACGTATGTGAATGTAATTGAGTGAGAATTAACAGAGCAGACCACATGCGTAGGTAAACATTATGCATTTGCTTTGCAAATGTTGCCTTTCCAGTTTATTCATTTCTTACACTTTAAAAACGTGCATCGACAGAGAAATACACATAAAGTGCAGGAATACGTATCAATAACAGGTCAAAATATGTCTATTGGTTGCCCGGTAATGTATTTATTTTCCTTCAATTAGGTACAGCGTCTTGCAGCTACCTCGAGCAGGACTGTGACTACCGTTTGGAGGAGTGCATGACGTCACTTTCAGACGAGTGTACAGCTGGGTCCGGCTGTGGCCACTGTTACCTCATCATCGGGGACTGTCTACATCAACTAGGGACTTGTCCACATTATCACAATGGTAACATTTAGTTCATTTGGCATCGTGTGGCGTAATGGTTGGGTATTCGGCCAGGAACCCAATGCATGGATCCTGGGTTCGAATCCACCTACATACCCCGACGTTGTGCCCTTGTCATGACTTTCCTCACTTCACTCAGGTCAGGTGAAAATGAGTACCTAGCTATAGCCTCGGTTAGGGACGTCGCTCTGATAGGACGTTAAATGGAGGTCCCGTGTTTGGGGAGAGCCACACCCTACGCACGTTAAAGAACCCACCATACCTTATATATTTTGAAAAAAGGAGGCTCATGTCCCGGTGTCCTATGGGGCAAATGCTAGAGCACGGAGTTGGTGGTTTACTGCAAATCACCCGGCCACGTGAACTCCTGTCTTGTATTAGCCTCAAGGTTCGCTTAATAATAACCACGTGCTAGTTAGGCAGCCTTGACTGTACCTTTAACCAAACGGATTTAAAAAAAAAACTATAATTGTATAGTTTGCACCACGCCATACTATAGCTGTGGTTATTTATCCCAATTTTTTAGCACCATATTTTCTTTTATTCTAAAAACGTGCTAGTCACATTGACATGGGATATTTGTTAAAAAGCATGCCATCCCATTTTTTACTAAAAGGTATATTATGCAATCTCTTTTTAGTAAAAAAATGGGATAACACCCCTGCCATCCCATTTTTTTACTAAAAGGTATATAATGCAAAAACCTTTTAGTGAAAAAATGGGATAACACCCCTGCCATCCCATTTTTTTACTAAAAGGTATATTATGCAATCTCTTTTTAGTGAAAAAATGGGATAACACCCCTGCCATCCCATTTTTTTACTAAAAGGTATATAATACCTAAAAACCTTTTTAGTAGAAAAAATGGGATAACACCCCTGCCATCCCCATTTTTTTACTAAAAGGTATATAATCCAAAAACCTTTTAGTAAAAAAAAAATGGGATAACACC